TCAGCTACATTATACATGCCAAGACTGTATTTGTGCATAGATATGGGCTTTGATGGGGGCCCACAGCCCAACCATCGATGGGCTGTGGGTTGGGTTGGGCTCTGAAGATTGAGCCCATAGCCCACTGCGGGTTGGGCTATGGGCTGGGGGTCTAGGCCCATTTGTGGGCTATGCAGAGGTCTACCTATACGTACCGGATTTTCCCTGGCGGGTGGAGCTTTCCTATTTGAGCTGCCGCCGCTTTTATGAGGGTGCTCAGGCTCAGGCTCACTGAGTAGATGTCAGCACGGGCTCAGATCAGTGCTCATGCTCAGATCAGTCACGTGCAGAATGACTGATGATCAATGAGTGCTTAGTGAGTGCTCAGTATCCAATTAGTGAGTAACACTGATGCACTCAGCCCGCCGCAGACTATACCCAGAAGGGATTAGCCCCACAGGGTCGTTTATACTGTAATACAGACCCTGCCACTAAGTATTTACCCACCCGCATTTTCACCCCACCCCTATGAAATATATATCTTTACATACTACTAATAGATCGACACTAGAGACACGTCCGACGGAGGGTATCACGGGAAGTGGAGCCCTAGACGATCTCGAATTCAGCCGTAGGCTTAGCACGATAGCATTAGACACAAGTTAGGACATCTATCGTAGGTAGGGATGGGCTATACCGGTGTATAGAGGGAGGTGATATAAGGAATGGGGGTCTTGCAGTACGTAAGCACCGAACACGTGATATACGGGCCGTACCGCTATAGACGGGCACAGTCAGGTGATAAACCCTACCCTAGTCACGTTACATATGAATTTTTCGACCAATGAGAAGCCAGATCTCAAATCTGAGGCGGGGAATTTTGGACTAGAAGTCATTAACTGCCTTGCCTGTATTATTTGCTTCGCTGAGCTCAGCAAAATAAGGCCACTGGGGAAACACTAATAGACATTTGAGGATGACATGATCCACTGGCTAGCGACGTAAAATGAAACCGTTTAACCACGTGGGCCGAAGCATTTCCAATTCCTCTTGCTGCCATGCTTCACTCAAGGAGCTATAAGCAATGGTTTGTTTCCCTCCAGAGACGGCTTGAAGCGGACATAGCAGGCTTTGCGGTAATCAGGCAGATCTCGTGGTCGTGAAAAAGGCGAAAGAGACCTATGAACGTCTTGACACTAACATTTTTGCCGGAGGAATGAGACACTAGCCCGAGAAAAACAAAATGCTGCATAATTCAGTGCCTTCTTGAGGGCATAAGCTGCTTCAGCCAATAGCTCATGCTAGGGAGGTTTATCCGCATATTTCCAGACGCAGATTGTCGCTCGTGCTTGCAGGATTTGATCGACAGCTATTTCCATCGCTTATAAATTTTCTGGATCGATCGAATGCGTCGAAAATGTCGAAAATCTTCCGAGCTGAGTTTTGTGGAGACAAAATGATGCGTTGCCGTTTTACCTGATGGCGATACCCACGAGAGAAATTAATTCGCGGTGATCTTGTCTGCTAGGGCCAATACCTTGGAAAGGGCTGGACTCCTTCTAGAAAAAGGGCAAGATTGAACAATGTTTCTTCATGACCAGGGAGTATGACCGGACAAGCGAGAGGCATAAGGACGAATATATTCCTGGCTTACATGCATAAAATCATATGAGCAGAAGCTTCTATCTGGGTACAAATAGAATTCATATTTCATAGTCTTGTATTAATTGATATCTCCAAACCCACGCTATTTCGTCCTTGGAAGCCGGATAAGGAACTTATTGACATAAGTACTATAGAGTGGTATAATACACTAGCAGGTTCTGCTAGGCTATGAAATGGGTGAGTGTGTGTCTGCCAAATTTAGATCAGTCCAACACAAGCATAGTTCTCGGCCCAAATCCCAGTGCAGTCACTCTTGACGGCAGGGTTCCACTTGATGAAATTTGCAACGGTGATGCTGTATTTTGTCGCGATTGAAGCACAGATATCGCCCTTGACAACGAAATGGAATTTCTTGCAGTTGCCCACCATGCCGGCTTGGAACGGCGTAGGCGTCGCAATCCCGTTGCCCGCAGTCGTCGTCGTCGTTGCGGGGGGTTGGTCGAAGTTCCAATGCGGCTGATGCAGACGTAGTTGTTCGCCCAGAGACCTGAGCAACCGGAACCTACTGAGGGATTCCAGCTCAGGAACTGCTGCTGTGTGATGCTGTATTTGGACGCAATTGTCGCGCACGTGTCGCCGGCTTTGGCAAAGTAGAACCCGTCACAGTTATCCACCATGCCGGGCTGTGTCGGGGTTGGAGTCGCGATGCCGTTGCCTGTTGAGGTTGTTGAGGTTGTTGGCGCCGAGGTAGGCGTGGCGCCAATGCGGCCCACGCACACGTATGTGTTGGCCCAGAGCCCTGTACAATCGGAACCTACCGACGGGTTCCATTCCAGGAATTGTTGTTGTGAGATGCTGTTTTTGGACGCAATTGCCGCGCACGAGTCGCCGACTTTGGTCAAGTAGAAATCGTCGCAGTTATCCACCATGCCGGGCTGCGTCGGGGTCGGCGTGGGGATGCCGTTTCCGGTGGTGGTGGTGGTCGGGGCGGAGCCGCCGATCAGCCCTACGCAGACATAGGTGTTGGCCCAGAGCCCGCTGCAATCAGAGCCGACGGACGGGTTCCATTCGAAGAGCTGCGCGGCCGTGATGGCGTTGCCCGCCGCGATCGAGGCGCATGAGTCTCCCACCTTGGCAAAGTAGAACTCGTTGCAGTTTTCGACCATGTTTGGCTGCGTTGGCTGCGGCGTCTCCACGCCATTGCCGCTCGTTGGCGTCGGCTCCTCCGCGCTGGATGTGGTGGTGGTTGGGGCAGGTTCGTTGCCGCCCGCCGGGGCTTCGACGCAGTAAGACCGCCCCGTCAGGTAGTTGCCGCAGTCGGCAGTGATGGAAGGGTTCTGTCAGAACAAAGAAAGAACACACAGTCAGCACCAGGTGTCAGTGAAAAAAAAACGTGGGTATTATTTCTGTGCTGAACTGACCCAGAGGAGGAAGTCCTCCATGCTGATGCCCCACTCGAACGGCATGTCCGCGCACGCGATGGCCCCGTCAACATTGTCCCACCACCACGTACAGGTCGAAATGGTGTTGGGGTCAGACGGCGAACCAGGAGTCGCATCCTTCGCAAAATACTGCGGACGTCCCTCGACGCTGCCAAGGGCGAGGGCGAGAAGCCCAGCCAGTCGAAACGAAGACCCGGCCATCCCGAAAGATAACGAGGAGAGGAAATGTCTAAACGGTAGCAATGCTGTAATAATGCGGTAACAAGTAGGTACCTTGAGCAACGGCAGAGACAGTATGACAGCGCACGAGATCGTGAGCGTGAGCAGCAGGGCTTTATACTTGATATACCGCACTGTGAAAACTTCCGAGAGGACCACAGGACTCCGTAGTCGAAAGGCACATCATTGTGGACCACTTCTGTTTGACCGTCTATTTTTACCGACGCCCTCCCCCTCTATTGGGTGTTTCGGACAATCCTCCGGCGAGGCTGTAAGCACAGGTCTCCTGGTGTTGAAGGCCGGAAGGTTCTACCCTATGAGCAGGGGCTGCACCGTTCCTGTATCGTCTGATCATCTTTTTCTGCTCAACTACCTCGCAGGCGAGGCCCGCACTCATCCATCGTGATTCTTGGCATGGGGGTGGATTGCTTTGGGGATATCGCCCGGCTGTAAACTGAATCCATCAAACAGAAGCGCTCCAACATGCATCACAAGCAAAAAGTCAGCGCCCCCGTCATCTCCCTAGCGCAGCTTCGAGTTGAGAAATTCAAACTAGTCCCTTCATAAGACACTAGTGTGCTCGCAATTAAGATTGAATGTAACCCTCCCTCCCTGTTCATGGATGCGTGAACCGAGAGCCAAGCTCACATTGCCTTCTTCGTTAAATGAAGGAACCAAGTTTGCATGGATCCTTGGGCTTGTGATCCTTTGGGGACGATTGTTGAAAGCCCCCTCCCGATTATTCCTCCTGCAAGCGAGATGACACATAATCGCAACCCAGCCCTGCCTGCCGTATAACTGAATATTCTCACACTCGTAATAAATTGGGGCAAATTTGGGTATCTCTACCTCTCACATTTCCAGCAGCCCCTTCCGCCTGAGATATCAGAACATCATACTCCAGAGAGAAGGATGAAAGGTAGAAAGGGAGGGAAAAAGAAGAGACCTCATTGGGAAATAACCAGTTAGTACGGAGTAGTAGAAAGTTCAATTACAACAGGATCCCCGGAGATTGGAATGGGCATGAGGCGTTTCTTGGCGACTCCACTGCTCCGCCCTCGCACCAACAGCGGAAGGGCCGTCGGGGATGTTCCGGGCCGTCCGGATGGAACGGTTTCCCTGAGTCTTTTTATTGATGCGGCTGCTTTTGAAATTTATGCCAAGAGTTGAGAGCAAATTTCCTCTTCCTGAGGTGCTGCCAATCTCTTCAGTGAGCAGGGTATACAAGTTTGTACTAGGCGTGCAGCATGAGTTTCTTCCCTTCTCCGAGGCTCATCTTCTTTGATGTAACATGACCGCTCACCTCCACTTTTGTCTTTGACCATGGGCCCCGCCAAGCGCGGGGTTCTAAATCAGAGGAGCCAGACATCCTGGATGGAGATGGTCACTTGCTCGAGCCTCAGGCTACGGTGATCTAACTGCATAAGGCCGGGGTAGACGCCACGTGTGGGGGTGCAGTCAGGGGGAAATTATAGCACCAGTCAGTTAGCACTTTGTGCTCCCCTGTACCTTGCAATATGGTGGGAAATGAACCAACTCAGCCTCGGCTGCGGGAGAGCGGAGCGGTTTTGCCCGTATACTCTGTTTTCTAATCTCCGAAGATTCTCTATGTGTGGCGGCAGCCTTGCGCCGCCTTGGCTTGTTAACGCTAAGTCCTGATGGCTGCAGGGATGGAGAGCTCAGGGTGATAAAGAGATTTGTCTGCCCTGTTGACCGGGAGTGAAAAGGGTTCTGCAAGACTGTCTTTCCTACACCATGTGGCTCTGGAATGCTTGCTGGGCATCCAGGCTGCTGCTGCTGTCCGCGGCCAGTGGTCTGGCGTCTGGCCTGTCACAGTTCCAGCGCCTCGAGTTGAACAAAAACCCCTGCCCGGGCGCCTGTGACCCCAGCGGGAATAATACAAAGTGGTTCACGTACCACAGCGTGGACGAGTTTGCCGCATGCAACGAGCCAATCTTGCTCAACCTTAACGTCTACACGCCCGTCGACGACGATTCAACACACACCACAATCCGCGCCTGTACCATTGGCAACGCGCATAGCAAGGTTAACTTTCTTGCGGTTTCCGGCTACGTAGCCCCTGATGCCTTGGGCGCAACAAACTTTGGCCCGTCGTCTCTTCAGCGGCGGGATGGCTCTGGCTCTACTGCAAGTGTCGCATATGGCGGAAGGCCGGCCGCTAAGTCCAATGCTACGGCCTACCTGACACAGTGGGAGACCAGCGATCGCCTCGGCAGCAAGGCAACCGAAGACGTGATTCTGGCCGCAAAGGCTCTCCAACGGACTCTTAAGCAGGAGACCGCGATCCACGGAAAGAAGAAGATTATCTTCGCCTATCTCCACGGCACGCTCATCGGTCTCTATTCCGGGTCACAGGTCAATTTGATGCAGACCTCTGCGTCCATGCTGGACCAGTTGATCACGGCTCTTGAGGGCCAAGACTCGGACTCGGCCCCCTCGAGAAAGACCCTCGAGATCTGCGGGGGGCACTGTACGGCAAGCCACATCTTTGGCGTCGTTGGGGACGCAGGTGGTGATTTTCGCGCCGTCCAGAGCATTGTAAAGTCATGGAACGACGGCGAGCTTCTGTCCGCCAAGTCCGTGGTGGAAACTGAGTCCGTTCCAAAGTCTTCCCTCTGGACGTTCGCCAGCAACAATGCCACACAGCATCGACGACGCAGTCATGTGCGCCATCTAAATCCAAGAGCCGAGTGTCGCAGCATCAGAGTCGACGGCAAAGACACGTGTCCCTCGCTGGCAACTCGATGCGGCATTGGAGGCACGGCGTTCGAGAACTTCAACAAGGGCACGCCAAACTTTTGCTCCACACTCCAGCCCGGCCAGCCTGTATGCTGCTCGTCCGGTACGCTGCCAGATGTCACGCCAGACCCAAACCCAGATGGGTCCTGTACGTACCACGAGGTCCAAGACGGCGAATACTGCAATACGATTGCCGCAACCTACGGGTTGACGACTGATGATCTGTATGACTTTAACAAGAAGACGTGGGCCTGGGACGGCTGCGACAACCTCCCGTTGGGTCTGCGGATCTGTGTCAGTGAAGGGTTCCCTCCCCTACCCGCATCCGTGTGGAACGCTGAGTGCGGCCCAACGGTGCCGGACACGAAGCCTCCAAAGGAGGGCGAGGAGCTCGCCGAGATGAACCCCTGCCCGCTGGATGTCTGCTGTAACATATGGGGCATGTGCGGCACCACGGTCGACTTTTGCATACCGTCCAACTCCACGACTGGAAACCCCGGCACATCGGCGCCCAAGGAAAACGGATGCATCGCCAACTGCGGAATGAAGATGGTGAACGATGACAAACCGCCCGAGGTATATAAGAAGATTGGCTATTTCGAGGGCTGGAACTACAACCGCCCGTGTCTCACAATGCACGTCGACGATATCGACGACGGCTACACACACGTTCACTTTGCATTTGGCGAGTTCTCCTCCGGCATGGAGGTGATCATCAAAGTTGATGTTCAAGAGCAGTGGAAGGCCTTTAAAAAAGCCGACAGGAAATACAAGAAGATTCTGTCCTTTGGCGGGTGGGAATTCTCCAATGCTCCCGCCACGTCGGGTCTCTTCCGCCTGGCGGTATCGCCAGAACATAGGGATACGTTTGCTGAGAATGTCGTCAAGTTTGCTACCGACAATGGCCTGGATGGCCTTGACTTTGACTGGGAATATCCTGGCGCCACTGACATTGAGGGGTCGGATCCTGGAAATGAGGAGGATGGCGAGAATTACCTCGAGTTCCTGAAGCTCGTACGTGAGAAGCTGCCCAAAGGCAAGTCACTTTCGATTGCCACTGCAGCCTCCTTCTGGTATCTCAAGGGCTTTCCTGTCAAGGAAATGGCGCCGGTCCTGGACTACTTTATCCATATGACGTATGACTTTCATGGTAAGTTTGCCAAACAAACATGAGCTTTCCTCCACCGATAGTGAGGGGACGGGATGCTAACTAACTGTTGGACGCACAGGTCAATGGGATGTGGGCAGGGAATGGTCCATGGAGGGATGCCCAGCAGGGAACTGTCTACGGTCCCATCTCAACTCAACGCAGACGCACGATTCCCTAGTCATGATGACAAAGGCCGGCGTCCCATCGCACAAGATTGTCGTAGGCGTGACCAGCTACGGGAGATCGTTCAAGATGTCTGATCCGACTTGCCGCGGCCCAATGTGTACGTCCTTTTTCATCTTGTCTCTCAGAATATTTCCGGGGACGTATGTGATTTAACCCGTGAAAACAGGCACGTTTGTCGGCGAGAGAAATGATTCGCCTGCAAAGCCGGGCAGATGCACGGGAACTGGCGGCTACATCTCCAACTTCGAGATTCTTGAAATTATCGATAAAGGTGGTGCCATCAAAAGCTGGTATGACGAGGCAACTGATTCGGACTATCTGGTCTTTAATTCCGTCGAGTGGGTGGCGTATATGACCGACAAGACCAAAGACCGCCGTCGCGGCCAGTACCAGGGCCTCAACTGTGGCGGTACAACTGACTGGGCTATTGATCTCCAGGGAGTGAGTGTCTATTTTATTGATATTGATGCCGAAACGGCACATTTTACAGACTGTCGCTAACAACCGGGATCACAATAGGAAGGAAGACGTGCCAACACAGGCGAGCCTGTCTATTTGGACCCCATCGTATACAAGGAGCCCGATGCCTGGTGCGAAGCACCATGTGTGCTGGTCTTCCCACCTAGCCAGCTTCACTCGCCAACGACCATCGACCCGGGAGAGTACGTCACTTCGCTTCTCTACGGCACCACAACCGAAACTACCAAGAACCGCGAAACGGTCACCGCGTTCGTGACGCAGACGACGACAATCACCATTGACCTGCCCGTAATCACGACCGACGAGTTATCGTACTCCAACGTCAACATCAGCCGGAATCAAGACACCAGCTCGCTCTGGGTCGGGGTTAGCGTTCCTATCGCACCCGTCACCGTGAGCCTGGACGACGGTGGGGGCGGCACAACCACACGTGTTCTTACCCTTCCTGCGTGGCCGGCTGTAACCAAAGGCCCACGGCCTGGTGGTGACGATGATGACAATGACGATGGCTCTGGAGATGACGAGAACTGGGAATTACCAAATCCAATTGAGACAACGGCCAAACCCGAGCCAGGGCCCACCGAGGTACTTCACCATTTCCATTTACGCCCCCCCCCTTCTTCTTATCGTGTTTTGTGAATTCAAAGGAGCTGATGCAATGCTAAAAATGATAGCCAACCCGGACGACCTTGCCTACTTGGCGAACATATCCACCTTACATTGTCGAGCCTGTCAACGAGGAGGATGACGGTGACGATGACGACGACGACGACGGCGTTGTGATTATCACGAGCTGCAACCTATGGTTTTTCAATGTATGTCTTTTCCCCCATATAGCAATGCGGCACCTCTATGAAACGCGCAGCCCACGCTAATTATGTCCAGATATGTATTGGAGGCAAATTCAAGTCGATTAAATGGACTCTCCCTCCAGGCATTTATCCACCGTGAGCTTTATTTTTCCCATCAAAACTACGCGGATCAAGAGTGAAATCAATATTGTATGGGATATGATAGGCTAACATAACTTGATTCTCACCGACAGTGGTCCGCCGCCTCCAGATATCATAGGTCCCCCTCCAAGCCCCAAATTCACTATCAACCCGCCGCTTCCCCCTTGGCCAAAAATCACGTAAGAAACTGCCCTGCTCGAGACAAACAAGCCTTCTAACTCACATGACTTCCCTTCTGCAGCGTCGGCCATGACAAAAAGCTCACATACAGCGACGAGCCGTCCTGTAAGACCGAGTCGGCAGAGCTCTGCTCCACGACGGTCACAAAGTCGGAGACTCTGGTCGGGACAATCACGTCCACGGTCACTGCAACTGCGTCCGCCTGCGAGGCAATCTACGGCTGCTCCTTGACAGACTGGTCCTCGACCACGACGACCACTCCATCAGGTTGCGCCCAGCCCACGGCGACCGGCGGCGCATATGAGCCGCCAGAAATCGGGTGTCCGGCTCCCGCCATCGTCTACCCCAGGGACCCTGAGAACGTGGGCTCGATCCCGAGCCTGCTTCAGGGGTATGACGACTACGTGGAGGTCGGACTAACCACGGAACGCTGGGTGGCGTTCTACTGGATTCCCATGCTCGGCCAAGATACTATGGATGCTTTGAGGCGATCGGCAAGTCTATCTATTCTTGACTTACACCCGTGGCTTCCGTGAACAAGACTAACTGAAAGCCTGCACACACAGCCCGACGTCTCGTACGCATACTACTACGAGGAGAGAAACTACAGACTCGGATTCCCCTTTACTCGGCAGGGAGAACTGAAAGACCGGGCCCTCCCCTCCCATCCTGAGGCTCCAGTTAGCGCGGGTAGACCGGACGAGCTGCTAGAGGATTTTGACCCCGAACTGGATACCGACCCCAGCCCACTTAATGACACGCTCCGGGTCGAGTTGCGGCGCGACAAGAGGCAGACAGGATTCCATGTGACTCGAAACACGCCCTATTGGTCGCCTTCGCAAGTGTCCTTGCCAAGGGACAAGAAATGGCGCTCGCAGGACAGCGGGAGCTACGACTACAACAGCGCCGGGTGGACATATAACTACGACTCGGCCACCGCGGTGGATACATATGTGTACATGGTTCACGAAGGTGGCATTTGGCCGGATCACAGTGTTTGTTCTCTATCTTGTTCTACTGTCTGTCTACTAATGAATGGATTGTAGGAGTTCAGCCAAAGGAGCATCGAGTACCTTGAATCGGACCTCCTCATCGGGCCCGAAAACCAGGAGGGGATTGATGCCATTGAACATGGGTCTGGAGTTGCTGCCCATGTTATTGGCAATCAGCTTGGCATTTGTCCAACGTGCACCTTGGTCGTGGCCACGCCCCGGTATCCGAGTAAAGAAGTAGAGAACTGGTTTGAGTTTCCCATTGAAGAGATCATTTTGCAACTCATGAACGTACTGGAGGATATCAAGAGGAAGAACAGACAGGGCAAGGCGACCATCAACATGAGCTTTGGCTATAAAAGCGCTGCCGTGCCACCTATATTTATCGACATGCTCCGTGAGTAGCAGCAGATTTCTCATTCCCAACCTCAAATATGCCACATATAGCTTACACTGCCCTCTCCGGATATGTTTTGCTAACAGCCGCTTTCTCGTTGCAGGGCGAATACTACAAATGCTTGATGCGGAAGACGTCGTACTGGTCGCGGCGGCTGGCAACGACGGGGACAATGACGGGATCCCCATTCAATTATATCCTGCCAAATTCGGGGACAGTCTTCCCAATATGATCGTGGTTGCTGCGTCAAACTGGTGGGCCACGAGGGCCTCCTTCTCCAATTACTCCCCTTTTGTCGCGACGTTTGCTCCCGGGGACAACGTCCACTGCCCAGGCGCTGGCAACACCATGAAGACCTGCAGTGGCACTTCCTTTGGTAGGTTCAACAAAACGCCCCTCCCACCTCCCCCTCCTTTGGAATAAACTTCATGGCGTTGACTAACATGGCTTTTTCCTGATTCTCTGCAGCCGCCCCACAGGTCGCTGCGCTGGCCAATTACTTCCGCGCAGTGCCGTCCCGCTGGCAGTCTCAGCTGAACAAGCCAGCTAACGTCAAGAAGCTCATCCAGCTCTTTGCGCGCCGCTTCGCCGTTGACGGCCAGAGCGTCGACCCCGCAGAGAGGCGGCCGATTATTTGGAACGGCCAGGTCGGCGAGCACAGCTGCCTGCGCGACCCCGGGTCCTCGGAAGACTGGGCGCAGGCCTGCCCGGCCATCCAAGACAACCTCAAAGACGAGCCAGTGAACCCGGGGCAGCCCGTGGAGCCTTGCGGCGCCGGCCAGAACGGCAACCCGGCAAGACGGCGGCGGCAGGACGGCGGCGGCGGTAGCTGCCCCCATATCCCCGGTGACAACGGCCCCGGCAAGAACATCGACTGGGAAGAGGGCCCGTCGGCGCCCGAGTGCGGTAGCGACGATAACTGCGGCGGAGAGCTTTGCAAGGGGTACTATTGCGATCCGGATCCGGAGATCAGCCATCCGCCGGACTACTACGACCCCAAGGACCCCCAGAACCCTCATGGCCAGCCCCCGCGGCCGCCCCAGGAACCAACTTCGACAACGACCGGCACACCACCAACGAATACACCAGAGCCCCCCGTCGAAACAATGTCAATGTGTGTTGGTTCCTCAGTAACCCCTACGGGGGAATTTCCCATCTACGCCTACAGCGCTTATTCGCCTGGTAAGTGCACTCACAGTCCCACTCCCAGATCCCACCTCCTTCCACCCCATCAGACGAGGAGAATCAAAATCTAACCCCTCCAGGTCTCCACTGCGACGGCGTCTTCATCGTAGACGGCAAGATCGGCTCATCCCCAGAAATCTGCGACGCGTCCAACGACAACTTCTCCTTCGATATCTGCCGCACCGAATTTACCTTCGTAAATGAAGGCCCTGAATTTTTCTCCAAATGCGGCTTCCAAATCATGATTGAGGGCAAGAAGTATACGCCTCGCCAGCTGGACCCCACGGATGAGGATAACCCTTGCTCGGGCAGCTGTGACCTGGCGTCGATTTCGGGGCTTTTGTTGTATGAGAGTTTACCTGCACCTGCTTGTGATTGATTGATTGGGTAGTTGGGAGAGAGGGACCAGTTTGGGTTGGATAGGAACATAAATAGATACGGATATACTATGTAGGATTACATCGTGTCATATCTATCCATCTGCAGACAGTGTTCGTTGGCGAGGGTAAATAATGTACAGGATGGATGTTATAGTAACGTAAGGTAAGGTAGTTCAAATTCTACAGATAGAATCTTTTTTTCTTTTTGTTTTTCTTTTTTTTTTCGAGTGAGAAGGAAAGAGAAATGTGACGTCTGATAACTATCACCCGCTTTGACCTTTGACCAGTAGGTCGCAGCCCCCCCAAAGGCGCAAATGAAAGGCTACCTGCAACATATGTCTTGCAGCGAGTGTACTATATAGCTACAGTAACATACTATCCATTATACTACCTATAGGCGCACAAGAAGCTTGTTACCAAAGTGCCAGAATAGAGTTGGAACAGCGCTCCGTGCCTAGTTTTAGGTTTATATGCTGGGAAAATTCTCTCAAGGAAGAAAAAAAATGTCCAGTTCTGTTACGTTCACTATGAAGATTTGCTGGAATGGTTGGTACCAGGATCACAGTAACTGGTTAAGCAAAGTGTGGGCCCTGCTCTTAGCCATGACGCGGATGTCGATGCAGCGTTTCCCCGTTCCAATGGAAGCTCGCCGCGTGCGAAGGTCCCTCTCTACCTCCTCGGTCTGTTCCTCCCACGTGGAAACATCACTGCCCGGTGCGGTTTCGCGCAGGAAGTTTGTTAGCCCGCCGACCACCTCGACGAGATTAGGGACGGAGACGGGTCTTTGTTGTTGTTGCTCGGGTGCAATCTCGGCAGAGGTTTGACAAATCTTGACAAAAGAGTATTGTAAGAAGGCACCGTCGTCGTCGCTTGAACTGCAACTGCGGCCTCGTCGGTCCATATTGGCAGAGGGCTGCCTAAGGTTAGATAGATCAGTCAGCGGGAGGCCAGCGTGGCACTTAGGTGGAGGTGGAGGTAAAGGTGGCATCTCCGCCACCGTCTGAATATGATCAGAGTTCTGTTCCGAAGAGTCCACAAGATCCACAAGAACCACCCAGCTGCCGGGATGTATATCTCTGGGTCTGACTTTTGACGGGTCGTTGGGCGGGAGCTCGTGATCGAAAAGTCCGGCGGGGATGGGGCTCACACCGAATTGACCTGGCGATGACCATGACGGCGGTGAGTGGTCGCCATCTTCAACGGTGGTGGTGGTGGTGGTGAGTGACGAGGACGCCCCCTTGTGTGCGAATCGCAAGATAGCTTTCTCGGAACCCGAACCCGAACCCAAGGACCGAAGATATGCCAGGAACCGGACGGCGAAGCTCTCAGCGTCTAGCAGGGTATTGTCCATGGCGTAGTAATCACTGTAACTGTAACTATAACTAGAACTATTCTGGTATTGCTGGACGTGGTGGTCTGCGGCTACGTCTGGGCCATCTTCGCGCTGGTGATTTACAAGCGTGAACATGTGTACAACGGGAAAGACTAGGGCGTCGGGGGAAGTGAAGCTGTGACTGATAGTCAAGGACGATGTTAGGAATCCGCGGCTGCGCAAGGATGTTGAAAAGGCGGAGGTCGGATAAATAGTTTTGGTGCGGAGCCACTCCAGGTCTCCTCCTGATGCCCTCCCCCACAGCAGCAGCAGCTGGGAGCAGAAACGAGCGGAGGCGTCGTCACTATCCCGGTCCGGTCGCTGCAAAAAACATAGCTGTTTGAGGGCCGTGGTCTGCGCAAGGACCGTTGCGAGATCACCGAGGTCTCCCTCTTCCTCGTCTCCCTCCAGCCCAAACTGATCGACGCAAAGGCTGAGCGCAGACGCGTCCCGAAGTTCATCAGATGCAATGGCGGCAGCGATCACGCTGGGCGCAAGGTTCTGAAACGCGACCCAGTTGAGGTGACTGCGTCCGGCGTACGCAACACGCAAAATGTAGCTCGAGATCTCGGATGGACCTAAGGTGTCTGGCACCTCTTCGAGCCGCAGCCGCAGCTGCTCGCGGTACTCGGCGAGCTTTTGGAGGTTGTCGCTTACCGTTTTCTCGAAGGGGGGTTCGGTGGGCTCCTGGGTGAGCAGAAGCAAATCATCAATAGCACAGTCGATATGCGCATTCTGCAAAGGCTCTTGTGACGTGGTCCAGCGCGGGGCAGTTGTTGTAGTCGATGCATCCTCAGTGCGGGTGGTTTGCATTGATGGGCGAAAGTCTGTTTTCACAAGTCAGCAAATATGTGTAAATATGTTTGAGTATGGGGAAGCGCGAGGAATTCACAGACAGTCGGAACTGCTTGAGAGGAGACCTTGCAAAATCTCTTCAGCCTTGCTTTTAACTGTATCCTGACCTTCAAGCTCCGGTGGCCAAATGTCTATCATTCCTAAGTCAGCGCAGGCGCATAGGTAACGTGAAAACAGACGTACAGTCTAAGGCTGCATCATCAACAAGCGGCCTATCCTTTAGTCTGAGGATGCTAGGGTCCTCTTTCACGTTCTCGTAGATGTGGTACTTGCGTAGCCACTGATGAATAGATAGCGGCACTCGAGGCCGCGAGCTCTCGAGTACAACGTCAGGCTCCTTTAAAGGCGGCTCGTCTTCGACGGGATCCCAGCCCATCGACCTCGCTCGGTACCGAACCTCGGCCATATAGTGCATACGGAACGCAACAATACCATACTTCACGCCGCTATCGAGGTCGGATATGTCGATAACGATAAGGCCGTACTCGGTGCAGTCGCCGCGAAACATAGTGGATAGCGGTTGGAGCTGGACGTCGCCGGGGCGCGCGCTGTTGCTATTAATGGCATCGCTATCGTCGCGCAACAAGCCTAGCAGAAGGCACGTCGTTATAAAGGGGAACTCGCTAAGCGTGTCATCATGCCACGGCAACTGGGGCCGTGGTGGCACCTGCTTCTTATGGCGGCCGTCAGGCACGACGAAAGGAGGCTGCGGCGAGTCTGGAACGTTGGGCCGCTCATTAATATGAGCCTCGTTGCCCCCCTTAGACCGACGATACCAGTCCTTCGCGAGTGCTCTCTCCGCCTCAAGCGGCGCGCGGTTTGCGGGATCCGAGAGGATTTCGATTAGCGCGAGAGTGTCTGCTACCAAACGGTGTACGCGCTCCGGAGGCCATAGTGCCGTGGTGCGGTCGCAGCCCTGGCGGTAGGCCACGGCCAGGGGGCGGCTGGCGCCACCGGGGCCAACATTGGCAACAACGGCGAAGAGGAAGGAGCGGGGGGTTCTGGAGTATAGAGTGGTGTATCCCCACACCATTGTATCTCTATCCTTAAACAGCTGGGAGACAAGGAGAGAAAAAGAGCATTGCACAGCCTATTTAAAGAGAAGAGAGGCGGGGGGCAAGTCTCCTAAGGAGTAGCCGTTGGAAGAGGATTTTCCATGAATCGTATGCTGAGTACAGGTAGTGGGGATAACGCGTGATAAGATTGACACTTTGACACATTGAGGGGTCCCGAAGTGCACCGCCACGATTCTGTCCTGCTACAAGAATCTTAGTACCCGCTCGCTTACAGTATCCGATCGGAGATTGGCTAGCCAAGCAATGACTTCAAACACCGGCGCCTAACACAGCCACAAATAACGTTGCTGCCTGGACGGACTGTCATGCCAGCCAGAGTGTAGGGATGATCTGGTCAAAGTCTAAGATTTTATCAGAAGGTTGAAGCGCTCTGCAGTTGCCTCGACAGTAAAGGTCTTTCCAACACTAGGCGGGCCACTAGGAAAAGTCAGACGAGAAGCAACAGATGCCCCTTGCTAACATACTGCAACAGGACGTTAAGTCCGCGCCCCTTTCCATCGATCACATCGTAAAATGGCACAGCTAGCACTAGTCCAAGGCGAGCTTTGGCCAATGATGAGAGAAGAGTCTTGGTCTTTAGCGGAATTTTCAGACAGTCAGATGATTCTAGACACCATTACACGTCTTCAGAGCACTAATAGCACATTCCACTACCTTATATTAGCCAGGAATCAGTTATTATCACATATAACTTACGGAACAATTTCTCCTTAGAGCTAAAGCAGCAGACTGTTAGACACGTAATCAAAAAATCGATCTCCCTTGATTCTTCCCCCGCGCTACCATTCTATATTTTCTCTTTCTCTCGATCACGATTCTCGCTAAATAGTGCATCTACATCAAAGACGGCAATGCCATTCTTCTCCTTTACCCATAAGTCGCGGAGCGTGGGCCGGGAGTAGTTTAGCTGCATTTCATAGAAAAAGGCAGCGTCCACTACCACTCGACTATTGAGTTTCATCTTGAAAGGCCTCCCCTTGTTCATGAAAAACGCGCTGCCGTTAACGTGGTTCCCGGCCGGTCCGTCACCCCATCAAAATTTCAAAATCTTCATATTTTTTAAACGCCAATTAAATAACCAAAACACTATTAAATTGACAATTTAACCCTTCTGCGGGCATTTTGTACAACTATGCCCCTTTACTCCGCATTAAGATATGTTCGTGAACAAGCTTAATAGACATATTGTAAAACTGTTGAAGATCACGTTTTGTAGGCGAAGAGATCTTATCAGCAGCTGAACTTAGACCAGAATCGAGCCTAGATTTGCGTTTTTCTAGCTGCTTAGTCGTTCGAGGGATACCGGCAGAGATATTGCTACCTGATGTTGAACCTTGTGAAACTGGTCGACCTAGTAGAGGCGGAGATTGAAGGCGAATATTGAGCTTTGATAATACCCGGTCGGGGTCTAATGGCACTAGACCAGTAGCTGCGAAGGCACTTTGATTGATAGACTCTTTAAATGAGTCGTCACGAGCCGCTGGAAAGATATCAAGGAAGTCATCTTTTTCGATAGAATCGATGCCTAATCGGGTATATTCCGCAACCCGCCTTCCGTAAGAGCGCTTTAACACAGCAAAACAACCAACATCAAGAGGCTGTAAAAGATGAGAGGCATGCGGAGGCATACAGATTGGAATAATGTTATTTTCCTGGCAAATCTTGTCGAATGTTGCTGTAAGATGACTATCGTGGCCATCGAGGATTAAAAGGCAATGTTTCCCTTTTGTCTGGCTTATTATATGCGGCATAAAGTGTTTTTGGAGCCAATCAACGCTAATTTCATTGCTTGTCCAGCCGTTTGGACTAACGTTAAGAGCCCAATGCTTTGGAAGGTTGTCGAACCATCGTACCATAAAGTTCTTTCCTTAAAAGATAATGTATGGTGGGAGCGCTCGCCCAGAGGCGCAAATTGATTCGATAACAGTCACCCATTCACGATTGCCAGCTTGTAAAACGCCCCTCCGGCCAGTGTGAAATGACTGCATAATAACCTTCGTTATTGCACTAACTCCCATCGCAAACCCCGATTCGTCAAAGTTATAGATATCATCCGAAGTGATACCATATTGAGAAATCGTTTTTTCGACAAGCTTAAACCACTCAATAATGGTATTTGGGTCTTCCATTAAGGCGCGTTTATAGTCATATTTGCGAGAGAATCGACTAATAAGCTCAGGATGTCGTTTGATTTATTGTGTTGGCCAATTTTTGCCAACAGTCTGGGGGGTATGATCTCCGCGGTGTTGGGGTAGTAAATTGGCCATATCTCTTAACATAGCGATCGTAAGCGCAGCGCCTCTCTGATCCATAGAGATTAACCAATCCTGAATTGATTCCTCTTCTAGCTGTGTGAATTTATGGCCTGTAGCCCTTGCTTCATACAGATTAGGAATGCCTTTCATCCGATCCGCAAGAGTTGTGCGGGGGACATTAAAAGAGCGAGCAGCAGCAGCGATCGTGCTAATCCTGCCATTTTGAATTGATTTAATAGCTAGCAAGATCCTGCCTTCCTGATCAATTGATTTTTGAGCTTTTTGACTGCGGTTTGGTGGCATGGTAGGTATTTAAAAAGGGGTGGTTGGGTAGAGGCAGAGAATTTGAGGTGGGATGACGGACCGGCCGGGAACCACGTTAGATCTAAATAAAGTCTCCGGTTTTTGCACTAGAGGCCGAGAAACCCATTGGTCCCGGCCGACCCACAAAGTTTATTTCAAGCACCCAGCGCATCTTGACCATTACTCTGGCAACCTAGAATATTTACGAATAAAGTTGTTTCCTCCTACAATATACTATATTTTGCCAGCATGAGACCTTGAAGAGAGTACCTCGATTTCGATTTTCCCTCTGAATTTTCGGACTCTGGGACAGATTTTGTCACGCCAATCCAACAAACAAGTGGAGCAGAAGCCTATAGATAAGCTTTCGATGAAGTTCTTCTGACAACCGCATTCTCTCACCGAGCCAGCATTTCCATGGTTCATCGAAAGTTATATGTCGAATTGACTTGGGATTCGGCTACTGATCGACGGTCCCGCTCTCTATTCCACGGTCTTTGTGAATCTAATTTTATCCTATTGACTTGGGTCTGTCAGTTTTGGACTGACTCGGAAAACCTTTGCTTCTCGTCAAATATGACTAGGGCATGGTTTAAATAAGTCGTATGCCTCAGCTTCTACTCTTCAGATTACTCTGCCTTCGATCACCCATCTACACCGAATCCATTTGAAAATGCAACCAAAGATATTACCTCGAGCTGACCAGAATTAAGTGGGTTTTAAAAATTTCCAGGGAGCCCCCTTGATACCATGTCCTGATCTTGTTCCGAGGACACTCATAGTTGTGTGAGTCTTTATACACTGCCCGCAGTATTTTCCAGGCCGCATGGGACTCCGATGACATACTCCTGAACTAAAGAGACAAGAATGAAGAATGTGCAAGTATAGCGGATTTATAACAGCACTGAAGACGGGTCTGTTTCAAGGGCACACGGAACAGTGCTCCATTTCACAACGCTTGACATCTGGGAGGCCTCCGATGATGTTGTGATTCCAAGGAAGGGTGAATTCTCTTGTTTTTATAATTACATGAGGGGATATGTACAGCCACGACGAGATTCCTCATGCTGCGGCTTCCTTGCGGAGCCATCACAGGTGTTTGTTATAGCAATGTGCACCAGGACTAGTTATCGAGATAGTTGGCCACTGTTGCTTCGATCTCACGATGTAAACCACATGCCGATCAACTGTTGCTCGCATGGACGTTCTGCTAATTGCTATTCAAGCTTCCTGGCTGAACAGACACGATGTACATACTCCCACATCCAAGATGACGATCCTTTTTCTTTAGGCCAACACGGGATTGATACTCGCGTCGCACGACCTATGAGAGACGATCAGCTTGTAATGAGTAAATGATAACAGGTGATAACATAAAATGCATTTCGTACCTATTCTGGGGGTTTTCGTATGACCTGATTCATTGCTGTCGGTCTGGCTCGCCTCGGCCGTTAAGATTGTTTCAAACCATTTGTCAATGTTACTTTTCGTAGAAATTTTGTTTGGGAGAGCCACCAATGAAGCCCTACGGCCAGTCGAGCGACGAACAGCTTTTGATTGTTTTTGATTGCCTGAACCATTAGAAGCCCTGGCGCCAGTGCGACGGCACTTCCGCAGAATGTGGTACTTCTTCCCCCGTAGAGACTCAGCGCTTCGGGCCACCCGGTGTTGTTCGTAATATGCGTCGGAGCGGGCTTTCCACGACAGCTCTCGATAGGCATCCAGCCAAGCGAGAAGATTCTTTTCCTCCTATTCTGGCCAGCCCGATGCGCTACGTGGGGACATGGTGATGACCGGGCAAGTGGCAGAAGTGGGAAGAACGGGTGAAGAAAACAGCACAAGTGAACTCGAAGGTGTAGGTTTGTTGAGTTTAAAATTCTTTTCATTACTCAGTCAACTACGAAAGACCCTACTGTTGCATTAAAAAAGACCATTGTTTGATTATGAGCCATGGCTCAGTCTGGTGAGCTGGTCTCAGACCCTCACCATTCGCTAGTCCAAACATGCCCTCATATTATTATTGCACCGTTGGAAAGAAGGTGGCTGTTGAGCAGCGACGTTGAAACGAAAAATGCTGGTTGCCTTTCTTTCTTGGCCACACAGCATGGTTCTACCGCTTCGTTGGAACATGTTCTTCTAGGCCGGCTTTTTTCGTACAACATTCGTTGGCCTTCTTGTCCATCGTCCACATGAAACATCTATCAACGTTGGTTTAACAGACATTGTGGAATTCATGGACAAAGTATGAGGGCCTCAACGACGAAAGGTCTAAGAGTTGTGGAAAGTATGGCTGGGAGATAGTTGACCTTGCGACTCCCATTGCAAGCAAGCAAGTAGTCAATTCCGATTTCATGATACAAATATCTATTAGGCCAGTGCGCTCTCTCTTTTACTGTGCACTCAACAAGACTTGGGAACTCTCGCCGTCTCCTCGTGGCTGAAACGCAAGTATGGGTGGAATTCGAAAAGTGTCGCACACTCGTCAACGACAAGACTTTCGGAGCAGATTGCAACGTGCATTGTCCTAGTCGTCCCCTGAGTCTGAGAAAACCAGTAGTCCATCGGCGTCTGAGGCAGGCGATACAACAGAGGATGAGGCTTTGCAGGACAGAAATGACTGCTCTGACGACCAGGAAAACAGCAACTCAGCCGACAAGAGTGAGGAGGCTCCACGGGAGCGGAGAAAGAAGTGTAGATATGAAAGGGACTTGGAAAAATCCAAACAGACTCAGCTCCCTGGAGACGGCAATGTGGTAGCTCTCGAATGTGTGGCAGAGTAAGTATCGACCTCATCACAGAACATGATTTTGGGTTGCCTGCTGACAACGTCCAGACTAAATACCCGAATGAGGTCAGTTGTGTTTCGACCTTGGAGTGAAAACATAAAGCGCTAATCTTCTATACAGGTCCATTGAGAGCTCATCGTATGTCCAAAGCACCTGCAATGAAACCGTTCGCAACGACTTGGCTGATATCTTTGCTCGATTGACGATCGTGGAGACTGAGATAAAGAAGGTGGCAAAACAGAGCAACAACAAAGCTACAGGTGGCCAGAAAACTGGCCGATCTCTGCGTCGGGCAACAGTGATTAAATTTTGATTTTCGGCCATTTGGACCAGAGCAAGGTATCAGTCCGTGTTGGTCCTGAGGTATCTGTACGTGGTTCGACTGCCAAAGACCAATGGAATAGCATGCGAGCAAGCCAATAGTCGCCCGTGCACTGCTATCCACGCCTCCGAGTAAGAACGGCAACAGGAGGCAACCTGGTGGAGACTGGTCGATTCAAATACGGCTTTGAGGCACATGCGCACAAGTTGGACCTCATTCTCTCAACAAACTCTTCCGTTGATACACTACACTGCCAATTCCCTTTTTTTAAGAGACCGCAATTAATGGGAGTGTTGATGGCGGATTCAGACAGTAAAGGCAAATGAGAAAGGATCAAGACATCTCGAATAGCTCCATGGAACCATTTCATGCTGACAGTAATATGATCCTCAGGCCATAGCATCTTTGCTCTTTTCCGGCTTCATTTCTGGCTTCTCTTCGTCCCACTTATAATACAGATCCATAGGTAGCATTCTGTCTCTGAGTACCTTTTTAATGGTCAACTTCTTGCTTTGGGCCTGTCGTTTGATTGTGGCAGTCCTACCACACCCCTTTGTAGCTTCAATGATCTTATGGATCAATGCAGCCAGCGTCCTCAAATCGACTTGATGAAGGTCTTCCTAGCTCTTTACTGGAGCTGTCACATCCTCGACCTCCGGTGCCTGGACAGCATGCTAGGCTCGCACAGTTTAGGAGTTTGTGAAAAATCCACAATTGCGCTGCGATCTCTCTGATGACAAGAACTCTTTCGATGGTTCGTGTTTTTATCTCGAGGGTTGACGCTAACGGCACCGCTTCGCCATATTTTCTGATAGACAATTTGGACCCTACAGGAGTGGTATAAAGAGAAACGTCGGGCCGGGATGAAGATACAGGTTTCATCTTCGGTGGTCTCTCCGGCTCTTGGGCCACTTCCTTTGCGTGTCGGTCGACGATCTCATTGCCAACCACTGCATGATGAGCAGGGATCCACCTAAGCTCCGTTCGAATGCCTTTGGCTACAATTTACTAGATCAAGTCTAGACACCGAATCTTATAGACTTGCCCTGAGGGCATTCGCGGTCGGCGAAGCGCCTTGAGCACCGCTTGGCTGTCTGCAAAAATGATGAGCCCCTTCGTCGCTGGTGCGGCCCAGGGCTCTGTGCTCTCCAGAACTTAGGCAAGGGCCATTTCGATGGCGCGACGCTCCGCACTATCAAGTCTGGATACTTCGCGGTCGACTACAGCGAGCATTGGCACTGTCTGATCCCGAGAGTGTTGGGCTTGCCTAGATCACTCGCAGCCTCGGCAGTGGATGAAGATCATTCTCTTCCGCAGGACATTCACTTGAAGGACGAACAGAATGACGATCTAATGGACGAGGTTAGCGATGCTATGAAATCAATGCATTGAAGCCAAGCCTATCTCCCAAACCATATAAAACCCCTTTTCCGCCCTGCTCAGCCACTTAAATAGCCTTTATTAGGATATGTAATAGTTTCTGGATGCTCAAACATGAAGATGAGGACATCGCCTTCAGTATCTTGCTGAAAGCAATCTCAATGATCGAAATGTGTATCTGAAGGGACAGTGCTAAAATTCAGTGGCAAAACACTTTGCCCAAAGTGTCTCGAATCGAGGGAACAATTTGTCTCATGCTGGTGCAGAGTATAAGATCCACGTATCCCTTGAGCATAAAATTTTGACCGTGGTCAAATGTATGCTGTGCGCTAAATGCCGACCGCATCGTGAACGACCAAAAGTCTCTGTCCACCATTGGACAGAGTCATTGCATGCCCTGAGTCATGCCCTCTGCTTCGCCATGATTCCCTCCCGTATGACACCCCTCATCTCCTCACTCCCAATAGCAGCCACATAATCCGCCGCACTTCCCAAGCGCCCCTAGCCTCCGGATCCGCCCCCCGCTCAAGCAACCACCTCACCCGCTCCACCGCACCCGCCATAACAGCATACATAATCGGATGGTGCGCTACCAGTCTAGACTCACCGCCCTGATTAACATCCGCGCCCCGATCCACCAGCAGCGCCATAATCGGGATCCGACTCGCATCAAACTCCCTGTTCATGGCCCCCTCCGGTGCTGCACCGGGCGACACCGCGCCCGCCGCATAGTGTAGCGGCCTGCCGTACTTAATCTCCGCACCGGCATTGAGGAGCATGCGCACGGCACCGACCTCGCCACGCGCTGCGGCCGCCTCGAGCGCAGCGCATGAATGCAAATCCAGCTCGGTCTCGTCAAACTTACTGTTCTGCTGAGCGCCGAGGTTGGGGTTTGTGCCGTGCGCGAGGAACCAGTGCAGCAGCGGAGGATTGGTCACCACCTTCGGTAGAAGGAGGGCACCATAGTTTCCTGGAATATTGGGGGTCCAGCCGTAATGGGCCAGGACCTCGAAGAGGAATATTTGGAGATGCGCCGGCGCGTATAGGATTCGGGCAGGTGTGTGGCGGACGATGGGCGCGCCGCTTGAGAGCAGATAGTGGGCCATCTCGGCGTGGCCGGATTCCAGGGCGAGGATGAGGCCGTGATGCAGGAATTCTGGGGAGCGGGTCTCTGATGAGATAAAGGCTTGCACTAAGGACAGATTGCCTGTTCGGCAAGCGGTCTCGTATGTGATGAGGTAGGCGGGCGGGCTGCCGATGGAGCCGTTGTCTGTTGGGTGGGTGATTGGGAGGTCAGCGTAAGAGGATTGTACAAATGCCGAGGCGAGGTTTATATCTGCTGGTATTGGCACATGGCTGTTGTTTCGCGCGATTCTTGCTTGCTGTTGTCGGGCGATCATTGTTTGCATGTGCAGCATGCGCGCTTCGACTTCCCGCTGTTGCTGAAGTTGTTGCTGTTGTTTCGGGGATGACATGGTGGTTGTGTCGGGAATACTGACTTTGATTGTGATGCAGTCCCTTGTACATTAGTCCTGTTCCAATAGGACTCGCCAAAGCCAGCCTAAACCCAACTCGCTCACGAAAACCTCGACCCAAGACAACGGGTAAACGCGCGACCGTGATCTGGCGCTCGTGAGGAGGTCCGCGCGTCGATCCAGATTCAAGTCCAGATGGACCCACAACTCACTACCCGGTCCTTGCCAAGTAACCCTACCCCCTTCGGGTGTTGGGTTACCACACCGTAATGTAAACTCTTGCTCAATGTAAATTTTACACCACCCACCATTTTTACTACCATTTTACATCCTACCAACATGCCGGAAAAAAACCCAGATTTGGAGAATACCCTTGCAAATGCTCTCTCTGCATGGCATGCTCGAAAAAAACCAAAAATAGCCCCATTGGCGCGAGAATTCGACGTTCCTTACAATCTGTTGTATAACCGGGTTCACGGTCGGGGTTCTCGTTCGACGCGCCGTCCTACCAATTCGACATTAAATCCGGATCAAGAGCAAGCCCTAATTAGCTGGATCACTATATTAGATGATGCTTGCTCTCCACCAACTGCTAGAATGGTAGAAGGGTGCGCTAATTCAATGATTCAACGCGCCAATGCGGAAGAAAACACGTCGCGTCCGCCGGTTGATAAAAACTGGGTATACCGGTTTTTAAAACGTATCCCACCTACCCATAACCTTCAGTTTATAAAACAAAAACCAAAGGAAAAGAAGAGGATGGAGGCTGAAAATATTGGCTATCTTACTACTTGGTACCAGCGCTTAAACCAGTATATCGAAAGCAACAAATTAAGCCAGCGGGATATCTACAACTTCGACGAAACTGGCTTCCAAATTGGCCAAGGAAAGCCTCAAAAAGTCGTTTCAAAAAGCCAGACTCTATTTTCACCAAATGGAGGTATTGCTGAGGGTATTACCGGCATTGAATGTATTGCTGCCGATGGCTGGAAGATGGCACCTTGGTTCCTAGTTAGGGGTAAATTCCATATTGAGAATTGGTATAAAGATACCAACCTTCCGGAGGATTATACCCTAGTAACTACACCATGTGGGTATACTACAGATCAAACTGCAGTTCAATGGCTTCGCGCTTTTCATCTAGCAACTAAGGATCGTACTACTCGGGGTAGTAAACGCCTTTTGTTAATGGATAACCATGGATCCCACCGTACTCCAGAATTCATCAATTTTGCAGCGGAGAATAGCATTATCCCCTATTGCTTTATACCCCATACGACGCATATCTGCCAGCCGCTAGATAGCAAGCCTTTTCTTGCTTTAAAGCATTGCTACCAGTCTAATAACAACGCTGTTGTTCAATGGGGTGGATCGGTGGACCGAAAAGCGGATTTTTTTCGAGAAATTGTATCTGTTCGCAATGCTCTCACCACCCGAGTAATTAAGTCGGGATTTGCTAATTGTGGCATTTCCCCATTTAACTATGAAAAGGTGCTTAATCCGCTTGAAAAAGTTATGGATTACGGGGATGATCTAGTTGTCTTTGGTGAAGACGACGGATCAGAGGTTGATTTTCCTAGCTCTATTACCAATTCACCACCCCGTGGAATCTCTCGTACAAACGAGAGTACGCGTAAATTGGAGGCAGATATCGAATTGCTAGATAGCGAGCTTTATGCATCTATTCAGCATCGAGCAAAGCTACTATGCCGGAGTGCGCGAATTTCAGCGGAGCTAGCTACGCAGCTTGCTAAGGACAATACCACCCTGTTACGCCATAAAGTCCACCGAGATGCCCGTATTACTAAGCGCCAGATCAACCTAGGGGGCCCCCTTACTGCTGGTGATGCCAATCGAATTATCCGGGCCCGAGAATCGAAAGAGCAGGTGCAAGAAGAGAGGCGGTTGAAAAAGCGGGTTTCGAAGCCATTAACTACGGAGGATACACCAACCCCAGCACCCCGTTTTATTTCATGGATTTCACCAATGGATGATATATCTACTATTTGAGTATTTGTTAGGATTTTTTTAGATTTTTATAGGCGTTGTACGTTGAGAAAAATACAAAAATATTTCATGCGTTCTTTAAAATTTACATTGAGCAAGAGTTTACATTACGGTGTGGTAACCCAACACCCGAAGGGGGTAGGGTTACTTGGCAAGGACCGGGTATGACCTAGGTATCGGCTCGATCAACCCGGGCTTCCAGGCCTACGGCCAACAACAATATTTCCTTCCGTGGTATCTTATCAGATGCTACACCAAACCCAACGAAAGTTCACCAGCGGTTGTATAGGCCTTCCCTAAAATTAGCGCTAATCTTTAGGAGATTGCGCAAATAGATAGCAGAAAAATCCAAATGTCATTCGTTCTTCTTGCCCATAAACGCTCTAACACACTAATATTTTCTCAAGGCTCATCGACAGAGTAGGCTTGAAGGTCGCTCGCTTTCAAGGTTGAAACAACACCATTACAAAGAGCCTGAACCGCTCGTTTGCGATTCCATAATACCAGCGCCTGTCCATCGCAGAGCTAGAGGAGGATGTCACTGTCGCTTGCTAGCCACTCAATTGACTCTTGAATCTGTCCTCGAGTCGTATCTTCTCGGCGGATTTGACGACGTAGCATTCCCGCAGTCAAAAATACAAGTCGAGCAATTTGAGGGCCGGTGTAGCGAGGAAGTCGTTGTGGTTAACAACATCAACTCCGCCGTAAGGGCACCGGGTGTGCGCACTGGAATCACCAGAGTGGCCCCTGAGGATCCAGCACTACAGTCAGTGCTCCGCGCAAAGCCATGGCTTACACACTATTCCTGGCCCCGTCGCTTCGAAACGTGCAGCATGTCCTAGGCGGAATATTGCGAATCAAGGCACCGGGCGAACAACTCGATGCGGACATGCAATGGTGGGATCCGTTGCGCAGAAGCGTGACACGTCTTTTCTTCATGGTAAGGTGAGTGAGTTATCGCGCCTTCTGCTGCGCTGGATCCGATTATTTGTGCCAAGTCTTGTGACCCAACACACGAACACCACTGACATTTTCAATTTTTCATGTCATTGCAGGTGCACCCATCATCAAGGTCCACCAGTGAAATATACTGTTGCGAGTGGCCTAATTGCGCCAGATCAGCGATAGGAGTCATATGAGGCTGGTGCAGATAGGGTTCCGAAAGGAATAAAGGAATGCGAATATGAATAAATGAATTTTTTATTCGCGCGAATATACGCTTTATTTGTTGAATATCACGGCGGCTAAGCTTATGGAGTGGATTAGGGTCGGAGATATAAAGACAGGCCACCCCTCTTCTGTAAATAAGTCAATCAATTGAATCAGTCAGACAATCACTTATCTCAACAGGTTATGAGCCCGGGTGGCGCAACCCTTAGGCGCGTAGCTCGGCAACAGAAATTCAAACAGAAAACCTTTTGACTGCCATCTACAGCTAAGCTTCCCCATTAAGTGAAAACTTCATCAACTCAAAGATCTGACCATATGGATTCAGGAACATGGCGAAGGGGTATCGAAATCAAGATTTCAAACCCTCTGGATGAGATGAAGTGGATGGACTTTCCTCCGCTAGATAATCACAGACATCACACCATCACTGTCACTATCACACTATCACACTATCACTATCGCAGATATCACATCGTCGCGAGATATCACAGTGACGCCCCCAGTGATTCGTCAAGTGAAACGACACTTTGACGGAAGGGAATTGAAACCCCTAACTCAGTGGCCTTCGACGCAACATTATTGCAACAATATCAAGTATAAGAGCAGATGAAACAATGTCGCCTTCTGCAGCGAGCTCAAGAACTGCTTCCTCGCGGTTACCGTCTCGATCTTAAAAAGGGTCATCTCAACCTCCAAGGAGAAGCACTAAACGGCAAAGCAGACACTCTTGGACAGACGAGGAGCTGAATCTTCTTTCGTACCTTCGGCACCTTCGTCGCTGGCGCTTCACACAAATCCAGAAGTCATACTTCCCATCACTTTCACCAAGTGCACTCTTAGGAGCCTACTGGCGCCTGTCCACTGAAGACCGCGTACGCCGATCATCAGCGGTCGCTGCTCCAATTACCACCCCTCACAACACTACAAGAGACTCTTACAGTGCCCCCAACACTCAATCTACGCGTCCTGGTCTTAAACAGGGACCAAGTTACCTTCGTCATCCTACTTCTTGTCCACTCTCCCAGGCGGAAAGTAGCACTGAGACCTCGATCTTACCCTCGCCGAGCTCTGCAACTGGAGACGAACCAGTAGCCCAAAGCATCAATACAAATCGCTACAACCTTCGGCCCAACAGATCTACAACCTTCCCGCAAGGGAAACCGCGATATCTACTTGACCGGCGCCATTTCCCTCGCTTCTACAAGTCGTACAGGTACCACCTGAACCTGCACGGGCGGTCAGACAGAGACTACGTCCCGTTGTCTCACACACCTACGCCAAACTCATCGGACCGTAGCCTTTCCGTTGTCTCGAGCCCGCCTAGTGTTGCATCAAGCCTAGAGCTCTTTGGCTTAGAAGCGCGTTCTCTCAACTCATCAGATCGTGGTTCCTCGGTTACCCCAGTTTATCCGACGACATCTCCAGCGCAGAATTCTTCAGCTCAGAGGAGCGTCCACCTACACAATGACTGACATCGCGAAATTTGAGCAGTTTGGATTAAATGCATTCTATAATGGTATTCCAATACTTGACAATGCCAGTGACTGGTTTAAGTGGAATCAGAAGGTCAATGAGTTTATTCGGATATCCGCCGTTGCCGACGATGGAACAACTCCACCGATAGAAGAAGAAGAAGCGCGGCAATGGACTCATCGCCAAAAGTTCTACTCTGCGATGATCACGGCAAAGCTGACCCACAATGCGGCACAAAGGATCAACGCTTTTGAGATCTCTCGAGTCCAGGCACTCTTAAAGGCAGTTAAAGGCAACTTCAAACCAGAAGGCACTGGCACTTACGTGAACCTCCAGCGACGGTACATGTCCCTCACACGAGAGAAATGTGGAAGCGCTCAAGCCCTTGGAGCCGAGATCAGGAAGATCCATGCTGAGAAACTTCTCCTTGACCCTGACTGCGTGAGCTCCGAGATTGAGCGAACATTCTTTTTCGTGCACGCATTAGGTCCTGAGTATGAAAGTTTCCGTGATCATATATTTCGGCAAATGGACCTTGTTAACGAAAGAGATGCCAATGGTAACATCACAAAAGCGGCGCCCACGTTCGACTATATCGAGAACAAGGCAATTGAGGAAGAACATAGGAAGGGGCAATTGAGCAAACAACCAACAGAGGCGCAAGCGCTTCCTGCTCTCGCTATAATCCGAGGGCCAGGTGACAAGAAAGTCATACCGTCATCCGACGGAACGACATGTCGAATCGAGATCGATAACGTTCCATATTGCTCTTTCTGCCGGAAACCTTATCACGTGGACTCTGAGTGCTTCAGCAAGAATCCAAGACCGAAGGATCAGAAGAAAGACGGAAAGAGCCACAAGTCAAAGCCAGGCAATTCACATACAGGCGCACGCAAGCCATTGAAGCGGCGGCCCTCCACGGATGACGAAGACGATGATGTCGGTGGCCCAAGGGATCCAAAGAAGCCCACTTTTATGGCCACAAAGGTCTCTGGATAAGATGTTCATCGGGGAGACAATCCATGACTCACATTTTCTGGTAGCCAAGTCTTGGGACAAAGAGACGGCAAAGAGCTGTGGTCCTTGCGCTCGTGCATTTGTTCGAATGTACTCGGTTCTATTGAAATCGCATCATCTTCAGGATCAGTGAGACAGGCCAGGCTAAGATTCACATACCTGCGACGCTTTGCGGTTGAGCTTTTGCGGGGCCACAAGGGCCATGATTTCGTTCTGAGAGAGGTCATTGGGCCAGTCTCCTGCACCGGACTTTTGCATGGCAAAGCCCTCTTGTCAGGAACTTTCGGCCGGGTTGGCTAGTGAAGGGGGAGCGACGATGTGATCGGCAGCTGCCCAAGGTGACTTGAATTGGAAGGTGTCCTGAGGTCTAGGGGTGGTGGGAACTAGGGCATCTTTTGTGTTGAACGGGTTGAAAGGACCGGGAGAAGGAAGAGGCAAAATCTGGGGAAGAGGAGGCAGTCGGCGCTCTTCGCCCACATCGGAGGTTCCCATGCTGGTGGTTGGTTTGAAAGAACTTAAACTATGTTAGCACCATTTGATATTCAAAGCATCATAGCAAGGTGACTCACGGAAGAGAGCAGCGGCGAGAGTTCTCGTTATTCAAGCTGGCCATCTCTTCATACATTGCTGTTGACATACCTGCGACGCGGATATTCGCCTATCTCTTAGGAGCACACACAGTGGCTATACAGTAGATCAGCTAGTCGACTACTGTGGCGGAGGCATCTGCACATAGACACCTTGACCAGCTAATCCAAAACTCGTATCTTTAACCGGCTGATGTGAATGGCAGTGCATCTGGTGGGAATCACACCTGTATCTCTCACAGGCACTATCTGGCTTGTAATCCTCGATGTATCCTATCAATGTCAGTACAGTGGAAATTCGGTTCTAGGTCAAAGGGGAGAACTTATCAGGTGACTCAGACACAAGCCTGCTCGACTTTACAGAGTCAGGTGAATGAATTGTAGAACGAATTGCCGGGGGTTAGAGGACGTATTTATAGGCTTCTCGGCTCATCCTGTCGGGTAAGTGCTTGGTAGAAAGCGTTGAGGGACACCTCTTGTAACTGAGGCCTGTCGAAACCCATGTCTTCTATGTACCGCAACCATTTGCAGCGAAAATTTTCTGCCTTTAGATGCTCAGCGAGGGAGACGAGCAATAGTGGTGTTGAGAAAGGATGCTGAGTCGGTCAAGAAACGTTGGCTCACTGTTGAATCCTTCACGGCCGTCTTAAATTGAGGCTTTGTGGAGATATTCCGCCCGCAATGACAGGCTCATTTTCATTTTCTGATCACCTCACCTGTGAGCGACTCAACGTTGAATGACCAAAAAGCGCCTACAATTTCATCCCTAGAAATCATGGACTTTCAACGAAAGTGGAAGTGTGCGAAATATATATGAGCATTCATATCTGGCCCTCAACATCGTGAGGCTTGATCAGTTTCCCCGATTGACTCGTTGATCACTATCCCTTCTATCAAATTGACTGCCAACCGCCCGCTGAAATTAAAAATAAAATCCATTCAAAAGCTGACTGCGTTGATTGACCAATGTGGTGATCCATAACCACATCCGTTTGCATATTCTATAAGAGACACGAAGGCCTGATCGAAACGGTACTGCCCAGATCTTGACATTCTCCTGCGGACAAAATGGATGCCCCGAACAGCTCGTCAGACCAGGAAAATGAAACAGAACAGCAGCCCAGTGAATTGCCAATCCTTAGCGAGATAGACAAATCACAGGAAAATTCTCATCATGTCCCCCCATTGGTAAGTGAAACGATTCGGCTTCAAATATTTTGGCTGACTATCGCAGTTCTCCCCTTCACAGCAGGAAGCAGAAACAAGACATACCTTGGCGACTTTGCCCTTTCAACCCATTGAAGGTGCTAGCAGACCTCGAACGCGACGATCCCAAGTTTGCCTTTCCAGCAGCTCGACTTGTTGGACTCTATCGACGCCTATGGGAGTCGTGTGTGTCCAAGCACATTGATGGCGAGAAACTAGAGCAGAGCAATCAGAGCTTGAAGGAGACTGGTATGCACCTGAGAAAGGAGAGGGACGGTCTTCAGCTTCGCCACGACAAGCAGCTGTGCCGGCTGCGCTTTTTCGACCAGGCACTGGAATCATCTCGGGAAAGACTGACTAGCGTACTTGATGACTGGAACCACCCTTCCAGACTCAATCCCGCAGGGTTCCCGGACAATGCAAGAGGAGAGTGAGAGATCGGCTATTCGGAGTTATCCTTCCTATTGTTTAGAAACAGAAATACCACAATGACGTTATAATTGAAGGATAACTACAGCATGAACAGCAGCTTATATTCCTTGTGTCTGCGAACAATCCCCCATGTTCTGGACCGGTCTCACATGTAACCACCCAATATATTATGCACAAAAAACTCCGGATCCAGGGGCAGTGTCGTCGGTAGTGTACCTAGCGGAAAAAGTGCCGATTGACTCGAGTATTGTAGAGGTTCCATGCGAGGCCACAGGGACAGTCGGAAGCTATTTCCTATTGCACCAAAATCATGGATCGTGTCTAGCAACTGCCTGCGTACCCGACAGAGATTCCCCAGGGCCGTTTCAACCCGCGGCAGGAAGAACAAATCCTCTCCTATAGTCTCACCAGATGTCCGGTCGAATCGTGCAAATCGAAATTCTATCCAGTGCACCTCTTTAGGGAAAAGGAGCGCCGACATGAAGAGGAAAATGTCGCTAGCCTGAGTAGAGATGGACAGAGGATCTGGACCTGTCCACTTGAAGCCGGACAGACTGTCGAGATTGAGGTAGAAAAGGCATTCGATCAAGGAAGACCCTGGAGTTTCGCATCGTGCAGGGTCGGCTTTTCCAAGAAGATCCTGCCACAGATCATTGGGATCAGTAGCGAGACAGGGAGGCGGTGTCGGTATGCCAGAGGATTCATTCCAGGTAGCGTGGAGGTCGAGATCCAAATCGCAGTCTACTAACTTAATGTTAGCACAAATAATTATGAAAGCAACGGGTACAGACCATTGTTGTTCAATTCGTTCATTTCTGTTCTAAGACTGGCCGTCGAAGGCTGTAGGGAAATACAGAAGTGTATAAAATAACAATTTAACGAGGGTTGGGAGGAACAGATGCCGCAGGCTGAGCAGGATTTTATTTATCTTCGATAACGGAAGGTCAGGGCAGATTAAAATGGCTTGTCAGATGCTAAGTTCTTGAAAACTAAGCGCTGGATGTATCAACGGCCGTGAAACGTTGACACCCCGTAACCAAACCCAACGAAACTTCACCGGCGGTTGCATCGGCCTCCTCTAAGATCAGCGATAATGTTTAGTAGAGAACGCAAATAGATGGCAGAGCTATGCAAATGCTATTGTCGCCCACGAGCGCTCAACAACACTGAGACCTCATCAAGGCCCATCAACATGATAGGCTTGGGGATCGCTCGCTTGCAGGGCTGAAACCACACCGTTACAAAGGGCCTGAACCGCAAGCTTTCGATCACGCAACACCATTGCCTATTCATCGCAGAGCTGCAGAAGGATGTCGCTGTCGCTTGCTAGCCACTCATTTGATTCAAGAAGCTGTCGCTGCTCATCCTGAAGTCGCATTTTCTTAGCAGATTTGACGACGTAGCATTCCCATAGGGAAAAGTACAAGTCAAGCAGCTTGAGGGCTGGTGTAGCGAGAGTGTCATTGTAGTGTAAAAGCTTCATAAACTCCACCGTAAGGGCACGGGGTGTCACTGGACTCTGCGCAGTATTAGTGTTTTAGTTCGTTTCCTGCCGAAGAGGATATGACCGACCTTGGCTTCGATGGCTGTGCCGTTTAAATATTGCCGTGGATGGGTTTCTAACTTGGACTGATCTTCTGCATCCTGCGATACCTGACGCTATCTCTTGGCTGGCCGGTCAATTGAGGAAGGCAACGTGGGATAGTCCATTTTTGGTCAGTTTGGTCATAAGATGTTGGTTGGGTTATCGTGCTGGAGAGGGATTTATAGACTGACAAACGCCGCACCGAGTCTATTGGTATCCACCATTGTCCTCCCGGCCTGGGAATAGACCGCACATTGAAAGCGTCAGTGGAAAGTTCATTCAACTGTTGACACTCGATCTCACCTGCTGCTCACCACAAGCTACTCAATTATATGCGAGAATAAATCACAAATGAAGCATTGAAACAAACCATTGCATAAACCATCTCATAGTGGTAGTCTGCAAGTGGACTTCTGATGCATAGATGGTTATACAATAATTTAAAATCGTTGAAGCTTTACTGTGACGTTATTGTGACTGCAAACTATCCGAATCGTGGAGGTGTAGATAATTTGATTCCGAGTTTTGATGTCAACAGACGCTGAAAACAGCCATCTCGCATTGCATTACGAGAGCTACCTGAAGTAGATGTCACCAGCTCTTACAGACCACCAAACCTTCTCCTCGGAGACCGCTTCAACAATGTTTGAGTGTTGTCTTCTTCCATTCTGCTTCGAATGGCCCTCTGGATGCAATCGTCTCTTGCTAGATCTAGCGATCTCTTCAAACTGAAGTATTTGAGCCTGGGATTTGCCACAAGTGCATCAACAACCGAGACATGTCCACCCTTGACTGCCAACATCAATGGATCCTCAAACCATTCATTCCGGAGGTTGACATCAATTTGGTTATGAAGCAATAGTGCCTGGACCATCTCCAAGTCACCACCACGGGCAGCAATGCAGAGTGCAGTGTCGTGAGATACGATCGTGCTTTCATTGATGTTCAGACGTGTGCCTTGTTGCACTAATAGCCTGACCACATTATGATGGCCGTGTGCAGCCGCTTGACAGATTGGCGGATCTATGAAGCCCCTCCCATTGATCTCCAAGCTCCCCATACTCAGCAGACAAGCAACCGTGTTCATGTGTCCGTGATATACGGCAACGGAAATTGGAGAGTGGCCTGCAACGCAGAGATTTAGGTCGATCCCTAGCACTGCAAGCAGCTGTCGTAGGATCACCGTATCCAGTCTGGTCGCGGCGTGGTGTAGAGATGCAGATGGCGTCCCGAATCTCCCGCGGCCTCCAACAAAATTAACGTTGATGTCTTTCTTGGCCAACAGCCTTTCAGTTATCTCGTAGCATAATGAGTAAGTAGACAGCCAAAGTGGCGTATTGCCACCTTTGTCTTTGTAGCTCACATTGACACGGGGGTGACTTAGGAGCACATTGACCATTTCCAGGCGTTTGCTTTGAATGGCGAGATGGAGCGGCGTATAGCCTTTCCGGTTCTGGATGTCTAAATTCAGACCCATTTGTCCGAGAAGTCGTTTGACAGCATCTACCGACCCATAGGATACTACTTGGTGAAGAGGTAGCTTAGCATCCTGTGATAATTGAGTACCAAGAATTACCTCGGACTTCGGATCGTTTGAAAAAATTATTTCCATCACGGGCCTGTTGAAGCGATGTGCCAGTCCCATGGCGAGTGGCCTGAAACATCCTGTAGATTAGGGTCGCTGCCACTAGAAAGTAGCAGATGCACGAACCCTATTCTGCCTGCGAAGACTGCTAGGTGGAGCGCCGTTCGGCCGTGTTTGTGCTTGACGTCCACTCTGATGTTGGGTTGTTCTAGGATGCTCTTGACGGTGGAGATTTTTCCATAGTGGATGGCATACGACAGGGCGCTGTCGCGCGCTTGATTTTGGACGTTGATGTCTAGATCTGGACGATTGAGCAAGAGTTTACGCACAGCAGCGGAAGAGTATTTGAGCGCCCTCATTAAAGGAGTTTTGCCTCGGTAAAATGCATTGATGCTGGCATTGTGCTGGAGCAAAACCTCCGCAAGACCAACGTTGTCGTATTTGACGGCCAGGTGCAACAGATTGCTGTTCTGAAATTTGATGTTGTATTTCCAGATGCTGGGTTGCAGTCTAAAATGAAGGTTTTTGCATGATTTTGCGAGGGCAAATAATGCTTGCCGTCCAAATGCGACACAATCCACAGCAAAAGCTCGTTGGGCAGGTATATGAGGTTTGGCTGTGATTTGTTAGCTCGTCGGTATATTCAGTAAGAACGATTCATTGCGGAGTGATACTGCAATACTGCACAAAATCCAAGGTCTGTGCGCTGATGATTTCGATCTGTTCGAAGTGATCATCAGCTATAAGCCTGTACTACTAATTCAAAGTGAATGCGAAAGATTTTGTGAACAGACTCACACGCTGTTGAGAAGGGCTGAAGAGAGAAATAGTTCCTTACCGCGTTGAAAGACAGACTAAGATCAAGAGATATTGGTGTTTGTTTTTTCTGGCTGACATACATGCTGTGATTCATGCGGGGTCAAGTTTGATACTATCGTAATGGGCGTTTTTTAAAACGTATTTGGAGATTTGGCAAAGTACGGCTGTTCTGAATCCACGGACCGCAAGACATTGACCCGAGTTGAGGCATAGATAGGTCCGCGTGCTTTGAAATGCGACAGGGTCCATTGAGAGAACAACCGTTCGGAGGAGAAGTACATGACACTATCATTTTGGGAAGGCAAAACTGATGGCGCGAAACTGATGTCCCCTGTGACGAGAATGAAGATGAACTTAGATTGTCTGCACCAGGCAATCGTCGCGAAAAAGGCTCGTGCGACATAAATACTCCTTGAGATGGGATTTTCCGGGTGTATTACCTCCGGATGCTGAAGCTCATTGATGGGACGAGTAACGCCCAAAGACATCTCCAACGTCCGATCTGTGGATATTAAACTTTGCTCATTTGGTGCCGTCCCTTCGTTTATATGTCAATTCTATACACAGCCGGCGAAGCCGGAGGAGCGGCACGTCTGGTTTCAGTAGGACGTGCATATAATGGTGCTGACGGAATCACCAGAGGATAAGTCTCTCCAAACATTTCTTGGATGGATGGCAACTGTCGCATCGGCATTTGTCCCTGACCCTCATGATTGTCATCTCTCGACAGTTTCTCGAGAAGAACCATATCTGGAGGTTGGGCAACCAAGTTCGAAATTGGAAAATAAGTGTGGCTTCGAACGTAGGTCATGATAATATCTCTGTTTGGGGCGTGGGCGAAGAACTTGATGGAAAAGAAGCGTTCTGAGGAGGCCTCGATCTGGTATTTATTGGGCAATCGGCATTTAGCCAAGAGCGCGGAGTTTATATTTACAGCAATAGTGGAGATTAGGAGCTGGGCTGTGATAAGCTGAGAATATGACAGACTAGGTTGCCCCTACTCCAGCCCCTAGAGAAGGTGGAGGGTCTACTTGGGGTCTAAGGATACTTTCATGTTCGCGGTTTAGAGCAAGGTCATTCAAAACCACGTTCCTGGTCCTTCCAGTAGTCTTGCTGCCTGAGTCTTCACAAATTCTCATCTTCTGTAATTCCCATCCTTGTTCAGTTTCACGTGCTTAATTATTATACACACGGTCATGGAGCCAGACCCATAAAACGATAGTCTTGCTGTTGTCCGAGTGTGGCTGGGAATGTTTCCAAAAGGCTGGGGCAGACTATGAATCAATTTATCGATCGATTGGCATGTGGTTTCATCGCAGCATCTATTCCTAGGAACGCATCATCTATTCCCAGGAACGCAGCATCTATTCCCAGGAACGCAGCATCTATTTGTGAGGGTCTCACGTATCCGAAGATGAGGACAGCGTATTCAGATGAGTAGTCAATATTAAAGAAAGCTATAGTCGACTCTAGATACAAGACGTAGCGCGAGGAAGCAAAAGGAACAGGCCTTCTCGCGTTCAGGCGAACCCATATGTAGATCGAGATCCAATACGCGATGAAAGCTGTCGTTCCGAATGCCAGGAGGTGTGCCAGATTGGCACTTTGCACCAGAGTCAAAAGGCCCATCGTGGCTCCAGCTTTTCGTGTTCAATGGGTGCTAAGAGAGGTGAGTTGGGCTCGTACCAAAGACAGATAAACAGAACGGCCCTTATTTTCATGCATTATGTCAGTACGTTGATCACCTCCAATTAGCAGAGACCAAAAGGTAATTCAGCATGTTCCTTTTAGGTATGTCCGTAATAGGAAACATCCGAAGAATACGTGTTCTGCTGATGAGACAGCCCCGAAATGCCCCCGGGGCCGCCAAGAGAAATCGACAGACAGGGAGATCAGTTCACGGCCATGACTCGTTCCTGGGGTTGCATTGTCTAGAACATTATCTTCTCGTGTTCAGCTGAAAAGTAGTGACTCGGGATTGAACTGGCTTTCATTTAACTTAAGACGACAAACTGAATATTAAAAGATTACCCCAGAATGTAGACTTCAATTGAGGGTGTGGAATGCGGCACGTGACCTGGTGGTTGCTCTGTGATTACATAAGAGAGAGATGGTTCAAATGTTCAAATGTTCAAGTGTTTGCAGTGCGCATATTAAACTTGCAATGCGCGTATTACGATGGTTTTGCATTTCTCGGTTGGGTGGTGATACCGGGACGACCAACTGGTATCAGTACCCGTCCCAGGTACCGGACGGACTGCCTACTTTGTGTGCAGTATCCCTTACTAAGCAGTCCGGCCCACATGCAGTGCTCCAGGGCTAGTCCTTGTTTGGAATCACAATCCTCGCCTCTGCTCCTGTTCCTCTTTTCCTTTGGAATGCTTTCTACCTCGCGCAAATTCTGGCAGACACTATTGTCCGCCATTCCTGGTCACTGAACTCCATGTTTTTTTACCCCGTGAATTTCGGAACTTGAAATTGAAAAGCAATTCTTCTACGATTCCTACTCATTTCTGCGGATAACAAACCGAGCTTTTTGGTTATTATTGTTCTCAATCTCGAAACGTCGCACGCGCAGCCAAAATGTCCATTGCAGCCTTGCCCGTGGAATTGATCTCAAAGATATGTGACCATTTGGATTATCAGGATTTGGTCGCTCTGAGGTTATCATGCCGCGCATTGTACAAAAGCTCACTGGAGAATTTTGCGAAGACCTTTTACCGAAAAATCTGTTTCATTGCGACAAGCGAAAGTCTCCACGACCTGGAAGAATTATCCAAGTCAAATGGTCTCCGCGAGCACGTTCAAGAGCTATGGATGATCCCCGTGGTGTTCGATGGCGCTGAAGGGCCCCTCGGCATGATATCTATATCGTCAAAAAGCTGCCGGCAAGTCAAAGGCGACGAGCTGGAAAGTCGGCGTGCGGTCCAAAAAGACATGATTGCGGATAATCGCAACCTGCTGGAATCAGAAGCGTTCAGTGATCGACTTCGGGAATGTATGGATCGATTCAAGAACATCCAAACAATCGGACTCGCACATTACAGAACGGAATTTTTGCTTGATCCCCGGCAGCAGACAGTTCCATTCCTCGGCAGGCGACAGATGATGAGCCAGATCGATTTTCGATTCGATGTTTACAGCCTGCAAGAGTCTACGCGTACCAACAAGGCTAGTCAGATACGGAAACTGAACTCCTTGGCATTATCAAAGCTTTTTCTTGCGTTATGTGGCTCAAGCTGCAGACCCCGAAAGCTGTCCACCTGCGATTCTAAATTCTGTTGTGATATCGGCCCCAGGATTGCCCTCTCCGAAGAGCAATCGGATTCTCTACTGTCTACTTTAGAAGACCTCGAGGATCTTCATTTGTGCATTGATCTCAATGAGGCAGTTTGGCTGAAACTTTTCAGGAAGCTTGCACCTCAACTGGAAGTACTGACCTTGTCGCAAGATCATATGCCTTTTTATCTTGTTCAAGATGACATGCATGGGTATCCGGCAAAAAGCTACGTTGGAAACATGTTCCATGACGTTAGCTTCACTCGACTCCGAAAGCTTCATATAAACAAGCTCGATATCAATTTCAGCTCTTTGAGATCACTATTGCTCAGTGTCAAGAAAAGTCTGGTCTCTCTTACAGTCAAACGGGTTACAATCGGCAGCGAGGAGTCGGGAGCCATAGAAAACCCTCGATCGCAAGATGCTGAGTTCCCTGACCGCCAGGAAAATGAAAGATCTGTCCGATATACATCGCCATCATATCAACCTACAGTGCCATCACACCAACCAACCTTGCCATACCATGGACCTACAGTGCCACCATACCAACCAACCTTGCCATCACATGGACCTACAGTCCCATCATTTCAACCAACACCGCCATCATTTTCAACATCGTCACCGTACACACCGACTGTGTCCCCGCAAGAATATGGACCAGCCCCCCTATCAGTCCTACCAGCATCAGAAACAGCATCGGCCGAAAGTGCACCCCAGTCACCCCAGCTTTCCTCGACTTCCGATTCCTCTGAGGCGTCGACAGAAGAATATTGGAGCAGAAAGTGGATGTCTACATATCACCCATATGAGCCATCTGAAACAGCTGGAGGTTTTGTCTGTCCCACCCGGGAAACCGTAATGGCATGGGAACGCAACGAAGAAAAGATCACTTCTGTGCCCAGCTTTTTGGACATTTTACGGAACGAGTTATCTCTAGAAACACTCTCCCTGGAAGATATTATCTGTGACGGGAATTATTATGATTTCGAAAGAATCGACACTACAGACAAACAAAGGGGCAAAGTGGATTTTGACATTCGCAAAGCCAATATTCCGTTGAAGGATTGGATTTACCGGTTAAGGCCAATTGCTCGCTGTCCGGCCGATCGCATCATAAAGTGTAAGGAAGACGAAGGTTAGTGGTACCTCCCTATTTACTCTCTGTGGTTACTGATGGAAGCTAGAAATGGAGGATTGGTTCGACGAGATGATAGGGAAGGGCAGCGGCTCATTTACCAGATTAGACTGTGACTGCAAAAAGAAAAAGAAGCCGACATGGGGATGTCCTTTTAGATGTCACCGATATTAGGAAAATGTCAGCTTGCATTTATCTCAATAATTCTGCGAATAATTGAGCTCTATCATTACAGTCTTGACACTGCATTCGATTCAATCAGTATGAGGTAATAGAAGTTGCATGTCTTTCTCTTTACGGAATTTCTCCATCATATACCAAGAAAAAAGGTTCCAAGTTTACTATCAAGATACGTGAATGGGACATAATGGGACATCAGTCACATGTAACGTTTCCAACCTTGGAACAACTGGAACACTTCGCTTGCTTGTTAGAATGAATAGGCACAGAGATGAATATGCTCTGAGATCAAAACTGGGCCCCGGCGATACCAAATGAGTAGAGATACTCACACGCGAAGAGGCCCGAGGAAGACTTGCTTGCACACAGTGAGTCAGGAAGAGTCCGAGTTTTAGGGCGTTTTTGCTGCTTCATCGGGGTCTTCACACCTCCCGCTACGGAAGTTGCACATCTCCAAATATACACCTAGCCGTCGGTGGTTAGTTCAGTCTAGCGCCTGTCGTCTTGGGGAGCCATAAGGATTTCTGCAACTTACCATTGATCCAATATGTGAAAGTATCTAGAGATAATCAGCAAGATTCACAAGTCAATATTTCAGAAAAAGAAACTGTACCAGCATTTATGACAGCCAGTGACTGGGTAGCATCAGTTTGAGCGTTGTCTTTTTTAGCAAGCGCAACGATAGGTCCCCAGCCATACGCTTTATCCGCTAAAACAGTTTAGAGAACCATTCATTAGCAGACCGATATGTTGGAAGTGGCATCGTCAAGTACTTACTTGCACGATAAGCACCAAATTGGGTACGCCCGTGGGTGAACTCATGCGCGAGGAGTCGCTCTGGTGTGTTGTGTATCATATTATAAAGGAAATCACCGTTTTTCACAACTGCTGCTTTCTGTGCAGGTTGATACCAGACTTTCGTCTGAAATTGCAACACAGACCACACCCCAGCACAAAATGTAATCCAACTAGGTTTACCCGGAGTGTGATCGGCTGTTAACGTGACTGCTTCCGCTTGTGCACCACCGTATCCAGCCTCAAAACCGTCTGGCATCGTACAAAGAGACGTGCTGGTTTTTAGACTACGAGGACCAGCTGGCAGGGCATTGATCATCCAAAATTCTACACATATCATAGGTCAGATATGGTTTCATGATGATGAACGTTTGAATTAAGGGAGATTTCTGGATAATACTCACCATGCTTAATATCAGAAGGGACATTAGGGTCGAGGACCCATTCGCTCTCGTCGCACATGAAATTCCAGATGGCCGTGTTCTGGATCAGACCACTCGCAAAAATAGCAGCCATTTCTAGAAGATTTATTTCGTAAGGTTGGAGGCAGTGGCATTTTGCGCTGAATGGGTATTTGTAACCTACGATTCACTCGTACAGCGCGGTCTCTTACTCTCGTCTTTGCAGCAACATCATCCCACTTGAAGGTCCCATAAAGAACCATGAAGAGATCTATCATGCGTCTTTGCTGAGGATGCAGGGTTGGATTGTTGTTGTTCATGTTGTTGTTGATCATGTCGAGTGTCATTTGAGTAGCCTGCGCGCCGTAATTGGCCTGCCTCATAATCGATATTAGAAAAATGTAATTCCCACCTCTGAGCTCATCCCAGTGCTCATGGCCCGAGAACCTTGGATAAATTCACTTACCACGATCTTTAGTTGCTCAATAGTGGCATCCCAGTCACCGAAAGTCCAATGGTTCATGCAGCTCTTGTGCACTCGAATTCTAGGAGAATTTGGCAGGGCCGTAAATTCAGCATCAGTGGCTCGTGCAACGACATGATGGAGGTTATCCTCCGAGCCTAGTGGGGAAATAGAGTGATTGCTGTACGGGTGAGCTTGCGCAATCAACACAATTTGCGTCAAAAGGATAAGCTGGCCAAGCAGGGTTCTGAAAGCCCCTGCAGGGCGAGCAAAACCCATCATTTGAGTCAAACGAAGGTGCGATGTGTAGAAGCAAAAGATATTTGGAAACGAGTGTATGATGTTGGGACTGGAAACTGCTGGAGGATAGGACTGTCATATGTACAAAATGCTCAGGTACGGGATAGACTAGAAACTATGATAATCTTTCCGATAGGGCTATTACCAACTCAATCTAATACCAACACTACGTGATACAGTGAAAATTCTCAAATTCTTCAAAGTAGTGTTCCAGTATAATGTGTTCGGAGTACTAATTTAATCGCGCAATATACTACTAGTCCCTATACAACTCTCACCGGGAGTGGGCCCCGGGGTTATACGCCTAGCGTATATGTAAGCGAAGGGCCACAATGTGGAGTAAAAATACCCTTAGACCCTTTAAGTGCGGTATTCGAAACGTTTGATTGGGCGAGTACCTCTTCATTGTTGCCCCGACGCTAGTAGAACCTGTAATCGATCTGGAATGTGGCCCGGAGGGTTTCCGGCTCCTCGGACACAGTACTAGTATATGAAAGTCAACAACGCCAGCCAAACCCTCGGAAGCGGTGCCCAAAGGGAACCTGGTACCGATGACAGAAAATTGGCTAACGAACCTCCTCTTCTCCGCTTTGCAGTATGGGTATATGTATTTCGTACAAGCCTTAGCTCCTGCAGCGGCGCCGCAAATGTTTGAGACAATGAAATTTACCGCCTTCTTCTCGTCTTCCTAGTTCAGACTAGTTCAGCTTCGAAAATTTGGAGATTTTTAATTGATACTGCAGAGGAGGCATGGTAGTAGCTTGATCTGAGTATGCTAAAAGGCTTTTCGGAGAGTATTCTGCGGAGAGTGTAGGCTATCATTGCGTTAAATGGATGGTTTATCGAACGTTAGGAAATCAGTCATATTTTGAACCGGCAGAATAAGTGGCGGAAATTAGACGATAAATCTACTCGGGCCTGTGCGGCGCCGCTGTAGGTCTCCACCGGAAAATTCTTCGACTGTTCGTCCGGCTAGCTCCACTCCAGGGCACCTTCCCGAGCGGATCTGGCCGGAAAATCTACAATCCTCGTGGTAGGGGCCAGTACTTAGGGCTCCACTATTCCTACCTTACGCTATCTATACCGCCTACCCTAATTAGCCTCCGTAATAATGAATCTACGCTAGATTCCTTATTGAAATCAGCTCAAGGAGCATAGGAAGGTCTGGATAACGAGACAATCAAACATCTATCAGTTACATTAACTCATCGGGTCGAAGATGTTATCAAATATGATTTCGAAGGCTTTTAGCCGGCACCTGGGCAATACTAAGAGGTGGGTCCATTAGCCGGAGGGCAAATGAGCCATTCTATAGTGGATAACGCTCCCAGGACCTAATTGCAGTATGCCCAAGTGAGGTACTCTGTATATCCAGGACAGGATACAAGCACTCATTTTAGTCGTATTTTCAATCGTATTTTCCTTTACTAGTATAGTATACAGGGAGACTTCACATAGGCTGGGAGTTCAAATACTTAGGTTACACTAAGCCTTTCAGATAGGTTGGGGGCGAGATATGTATCCATGGATTCCAAGGTTCACATATGTAGTAGTATTTATGAAGTGGAACTAAAGCGGGACTGTTTATTATTCTAAGTTCTGAATTTCATTTACGGGTATGCACGATCCACTTCCCACGGGTTTACTTGAAAGTTGTGCCCCGGGGCTCTAGCTGGTCTTCGAAGCGAACTACAGAGACATGAGACAGGGGAGGAACGAGGGAATCCCGATAGTACATTTTACTATTTTGCCCCATTAATCTCTGCTAAACTATCCACTCAAATTTGGGCTAATATGATGTGGAAATCCTCGAATTTCCAAAGTTTTTTATGCTCTCGCAATCTTCCTTCCGCACTGTTCCAGCGTCCTACCTCCATGGCATCTATCCGTTCGATTTTACTTGTGATTGCCCTGGCTCTCCAAGGCAGTGAGGCACTGCCTGACTGTCAAGGGTACATCCACAGTGGTACAATCGCTTATTTCAACAGCGCGCCCATCACCTTTAGCTATGAGCTTGCAACAGCCTTGGATTGCCAAAGATGGTGTGAGAAGGTATCAAAATGCCAAGCATGGCTCTATGTTGACCAGTCAAATCAATGTGACCTGCATCGTACGGAGGCATTGAGCGTCTCGGATAACGCAGGATTCATCTTTGGCGGGTGCACGACCAAAGCTGCCAACGCATCCCGAACAGCTCCTACTCCAAGCTCTTCGATGCACTCCGCTGTTATCAGTACTCCTACAGCTTCGGAAACAGCTTCGGAAACAGCTTATTCGGTTCGTTCCCATCCTTTTCAGGAATGTTGCTCTGGGCTTATGGCTAACGTGATTCTGCTCTCGAAGGCTCATGCTAGACGCGAAATCCTCCGTCATAAGCAGAAGGGTCACCACCGAAAGCTGTAGTTCGGTGGAAACATATCCCTTCTTCAGGTGGTTTAGGTCACTGGGAGGGACTATTACTGGGTGTCTGCAAGATGTCGGGTTGTTCGTGTATGGCATATTTATCATTTTTGTTTTGAATAAGAGGTGCCCGAGAAAAGGAAAGAGCATCGATGCCAAGGAAGACCTTCGGAAGGAGATACAACAACGACAATATTAGTGGACTCTAATTACGCTTCGAGAATAGCTAGCGCTCTTTCGCTGGATTGTATCCAAGGTTGGTTCCGCTTGCGGTCCTCGATCTTTTATGCCTGTTTCGAATACTAGACTATACTTTCTTAGCTTGCTACTTAGGTACACAGATAGATCTAGGTTTTTTTTTTTTTTTTTTTTTTCAAATTTCTTTCTCGAAGTCTAGCTCGGAGCACATTTCCTGTCTGAGTACGCGATGTTGTATCGAGAGTTGCAGCGATGGAGCTTTTTGAACTGTCTCCCGAGCTAAGAATTGGGGCGTTATCTCTAGGGCGGCTTGGCACGCCAGCCAGACGCCCGGCGCTTTCGGCTTTCAGCTGGATATTCATCTGTCTCATTAATACCGCTAGTGTAGTGGGCCAGTGCGATACTTTAGAGGAAAACTAGTAATGAGTGTAGGAGGCGAGCTCACCGGTAATCACCGAGATTTGCCTCTAAATTCGATAACAGAATCCACCTTTCATGAAATGATCTATTGCGAAAGAAAATATAAAAAATTCTTCACACAGCCGAGGCACCCGCTATGCGAGTTTGAAAAGGAGCTCAAGGCCTCTATATTCAAGAGAACAAGAACCGGCATTGAGGTACTCGAAGCAAGACTTCTAGAGCCCAGTGTTCAACACATCAACACCAGCCATGCGATTGTTCGTGGCTTGGGTTACAGCTCTCCTGCTTGCCTGCAGAGTGCAGGCAGCGGCTGTCTTTGCTCATTTCATGGTAATTTCTGACTTGTCGGCGACGATGACTTGCAATTGCTGACAGCAGAACCAGCTCACGAACTCGGCCAATTATACATCCAGTGATTGGGAAAATGACATGAAGTTAGCACAAGATGCGCACATTGATGCTTTTGCCTTGAATATGGCTTACAATGATCCAACAAACATGAAATCTCTCTCTGCTGCCTTTGCGGCGGCTGATTCTGTCGGCTTCAAACTTTTCTTCTCGTTTGATTATGCTGGCAATGGAGACTGGCCGAAAAACGATGTTGTCGCCTTGATCCAAGAGTACAGCGCTCATCCATCATACTTTTTCTACAAGGGAAAGGCCTTGGTTTCCACATTTGAGGGACCAGGTCGTGCTGAGGACTGGCCCTTGATCAAACTTACTACCAACTGCTTCTTCGTTCCAAGTTGGTCCTCCCTTGGAGCTAAGCCTGCTGTGGAGACAGGTGTTGTGGATGGTCTCTTCAGCTGGGCTGGCTGGCCTTGGGGCGATGAAGATATGAACACGTATATCGATGCATCCTATATCCAGTACCTGGAAGGGATGCCATACATGATGCCGGTTTCACCTTGGTTCTTTACCAACTTGCCGGGGTACAAGAAAAACTGGATATGGCGAGGCGATCACCTTTGGCATGACCGCTGGCAGGAGGTCCTTTACGTGCAGCCCGAATTTGTTGAAATCATCTCATGGAACGATTATGGCGAGTCGCACTACATCGGACCCTTGATTGAGAAAGCGATGGAAGCATTTGAGATTGGCCAGGCCCCGTACAACTACGTCACTGATATGCCTCACGATGGTTGGCGAAACACTCTACCCTACTGGATCGATATGTATAAAAAGGGATCGGCGGAGGTGACCCAGGAGAGCATCATTGCCTGGTATCGACCGGCTCCTGCAGCGGCTTGCAGCAGTGGAGGCACCAGTGGCAACACTGCCGCGCAGTTGCAGATTGAATTCCCTCCCGCAGAAATGGTTCAGGATCGAATTTTCTTCTCCGCTGTTCTGGGCTCTTTCTCTGGGGCCGTAGTCTCGATTGGAGGGGTTGCCGAGACAGTCGGCTGGTCATCTGTCCCAGACGATGATGTTGGTGTTTACCATGGCAGTGTCGCCTTTGATGGTCGCACTGGACCAGTCACGGTGTCTCTGAGGCGAGGTTCCACTGTGATCGCCACGATTGAGGGCAAAGCCATCTCTGGAAGCTGCACAAATGGCATACAGAACTGGAATGCCTGGGTAGGTAGTGCGACGACGGGGAGCACAGTGTCTGCCCGAACCGAGATCGAACTTTCTGACCAAAAGTGTATGAACGGGACTGGCGCTAACAACTTTGCGGGTCTCTGTGAGTTCGCCTGCACATATAACTACTGTCCTCTCGGAGCTTGCACCTGCACAAAAATGGGAATCGGCCATAAAAAGCCGAACTCGACCGGTGTGCTAGGATATCCGATTGCAGGAGAAGGTGCGAGCTACAGTGGACTTTGCAACTTTGATTGCAATCTCGGATTATGTCCTCCCTCAGCATGTGGTACCGTCGAGGTCCCCCTGTTAACGCCCTCCGTCTCGCCATTCTTACCTCCGGCATGCACTTCAGGCAGTGGTGTGGGCAACCTGGGTGGCCTTTGTGACTTCGCCTGTACTCATGGCTTCTGCCCAATCAACGCCTGCACGTGTACAGGACAGGGAGCAGTGAATGTCATGAACCCCACGACCGATGTCACGGGCGCGGCTGCCCCCGGGCAAGACTCAGCCGTCTATGGTCCTTTGTGTGAATACACTTGTCAGCGCGGGTACTGTCCCGAAGGCGCCTGTGTAGCGCAATCTGGAACCTCCACTGGATCGGGGTCAGGCTCTGATTCTGATGGTGATAGTGATAGTGGCGATCTTCACGTTGACGCGTCTGTTGCCGATTCAAAGTCAGGCTCCAACATTGTCACTGGTGTGGGTCCGCTGAACATCATTGTCGCTCCCTCCACCTTGAGTTCCACGACTACATTCTCCATCGAACCTTTGGTGACTCCAATCGAGGTGGCCTGGACTACAACCAAGACTGTGACCATTTCTGGGCAGCCTACCGTCACTACCACAGTGACTCGCACTGTGCAGACGACGACCTTTGCTATACCTGAGATCAGGACGAACAAGATTCCGTGGTGGAATTGGAACATCACCGCAACCAACGTCAAAAGTTCTTCCACAACACTGTTCCCCAGTTTTGCACTAGACCCAATCGTGTTCGCCGATAAACCAGACTTCCCGGGTATCACATATACCGCGACAGCCAGCCGTACTTTGTACCCGCCTCCCTGGCCGTGGTCCACTTCTTCTTTGCCTGTGGCAGTTCCGACCCCTACCGTCAAATTCTCCCAAGGTGGTCCCCGGGGCCCTACCTGTACATCTGGCTGTGGGACGAAGTGTACCTCATTCTGCCATACACCGTGCTTGCTTAACTGTGATGACCCCAAGGCTCATGAAAGCTGGACGGACCCAGCGGATCCTGATCCTCCTGCTAGCCATTCCAAGTGTACTGGCCCTGAATGTCACAATGGAGAGTGCACCGGCTCCAAATGTCAGAGAAAGGGATGCACTGGCTCCGGATGTGACAACGGCACCTGTCTCGATGCTTCATGCAAGTATTCTGGTTGTATTGGCAGTCACTGTGACAAAGATGGATCCTGTGACGGTCCTGATTGCAAAACAGTAGGGTGCGAGGGCCCTGACTGCAACAAGTCAGGTGGCTGCTTTGGATTCGATTGTATTTCTATCGGATGCATCGGTATTGATTGTGACATCAGCACAGGGGAATGCACCGGGCCAAACTGTCATATGGTCTCGTGCACTGGCCCCAACTGTCAAGATGGAATTTGCACGGGCCCAGGCTGTGAATCAGAAGACGACGACTGCGAGGCTAGAGAGGCTGATGTCTGCACTGAAACTGTCTACTCGACTATCGCCACGCCCGCCTCAACATATACAACCGAGACCTCTACCAGCTGCGAAACAATCACTGCTTGCAGCGCTAAAGCTTCAACTACCACCACGACGATTGAAGAGGATTCAATCACTGCTTTGGTCGCTTATTACAACCCTGATGACACTTTAGACACCTCGGCCGCTCGCAGTTTATCTTCTTCCATCGAAGATTTGTTTTCTTCGATCTACGCTACTACAACCACAACCTCGACCACTTCCAAGCCCTCTACGACGTCTACTAAGCCCACCTCTGTCCCTATCGGGGGCAATTGTGAATTTAGCGGCCAGTGCAAGGGTGACTGCGCCAAAGGCAAGATCCTTCAATGCGCCGATTATGGCGGTGGCCCAACATGCACTTGCGTCACCGACCAAAATGTCCCGCCTTATGGGACAATGTGCCAGAGCCTCAAGGATTGTACAGATTCTTATTACTGTGCGCTTGGGGACGACATGGTGTGCGAGGAACGAGACTATTCTAACGGCACACCAGTCTGTCTTTGTATCAAAGGGAATGGCAGTTGATATGTTCAACGCCGAATGGCATCATGTCACGGTGCAGAGTGTTTGAGATATACCAAATAGTACCAGATGGTCATGGCGATGGGGGTAGCGGCAGAGGGAGAACCGTTGGCCGATAGTAATCGATAGACAGAGCAAAGTTGATTGACCTGTATTTAATGACATCCTGAATATTATTTTTTCATTACCCCTCCACAATTCTAAGAGGCTCTCTCGGCTAGGCAGGAAGAAAGTAAAAATCCAAGAGCGCGAATCAAACAAGAGACACCGAGAAATGCCAAGACGGTTACCTGGGGTAGGTCGCAGAAGGCTGCAGTCGCCAGCTAGATAATTGAGGGGCGCAAAATCACCGACGAAGAAATCACTTTCCAGAAGCTACACGGAACTTGCATATAACCTTGGAAGTCCAAGAGTCAGGGCTTGAGACGCAGCTGTATGTACAAATTCGTACATACAGTTAGACCTGGCTAGGAACCGCGGGTGAACCTCACGAACCTCAAGGAGGTTCACCCACCCGGAGGTTAAGGTTCCATGACCTAGAACCTCCGGGCGGTTCTATCTTGGACCGAACCTCATGGAGGTTACCCGCGGGGTGAACCTGAGGTTCAACAAGCATGACAAATAGGTAAAAAACGTGACTTAGGGTCAACTACATAATTTGTGTAGAAATAGGCTGTATTCTCTCGTAATTATAAAACAGAACTTCATTAATGTATGCCCTTACAGGAGGATTTAGTGCATATCATGGGTTCAGCTCCGAATTAGGGTTTCAACTTTCAATTATCAATGGTTTATATTATATCTAGTTATAGTGCAGTGTCTCGTTATAGTTCTGAAGAGTCAAGATTCAAGTAATCAAGCTATATACCCATCCAGTAGTCTCGACTTCTTCCGTATTCTACCGGATGCACGATGCTGCGTATCAGGGAAGTCAGGTAAGGGTGATGCCCTGTTCTTATCTGGTTCCGCAAATTCATCGGCATCAGTCTTCCTCATCGTCAGAATTAACTGCAGGCCGCTTTCCAGCGGCGACTGCTGGGAGTAGCGGTGCGTCTGGGGTTGCTTGCGTAATTGATATAGCAGCCGGTGTATCAAGACGTATCTCAATATCCTCCTCATCATCACTAATTGCCTCGAAAGCATGTGTCTGGACATCAAGTGCTTCGGCCGAAGCGGCTATCTCATGGTCTAAAAGATACTCTTGGAGAATCAGCCGCTGCTCCTCCTTGATATCGAATCTTGTTGTACACATGTATAACATAATACCGCGAACAGTCTCTGGGTTTAACGACCCCCGGCGGTAGTGGCATACATCCCGGGCAGAGTTAAAAAGACGCTCAACTCCGGCACCAGTCGCCGGAACTGACATGATATCACGGGCAATGCTTGCAAGAATAGGGAATTCCCTCTGATGATCTTTCCAGAAGATCCGAATAGATCCTTTGATAGTATCTAATTAGGTAAGGTTAGTTATATGATTCACAACGTAGGCTTACTTACTTACCACTCTGGAGATATTTGGTGAGCTCGTCGTACTGCGGAGCAGTTAATCGTTGTGAAGAATCGCCGTCAAGGGCCTTCTCAAGCTCCGATTCAGTTGTGAATAACTGGCTATCAGATTGTATCATCTCTGATGGTATACGTTGGCTGTATCTCTCAAAAAAAGACTGTCAAAAAAAGACTGAAGACTCTCGCGGTATTCCTTTCTATAGTCCTTTCCTGTCTTAGGATCTGGGTCCCAATCACTTGTTGAAAAGAACTCCATTTTGCTCGACGGCGCTAGGATCGTCCCAATTGCATAGAGATTACCTTCGATACTATCTGTCTCGGCGTAGTATTTCTTTAGTTTCTCTTTCGCAGCATCGAGGGAGGAAAGCATTAGCTGTTTCCAGGGAACCTTCTTTCGACGAAGCTGACCTATCGATCTTTCAAGATGATCAAAGAGCTTATTGTAAATCCTAAAGACAAGGTGGATACTCGAGTCTTTAGTACGACAAACTAGCGTAGTGAGCGTGAAAAAGGGCTGAAGAATACAAAGCAGATAGTCAATCTGTCGCCACCCCTCTGCACTCAATGTAAAATGGTGTTGATCATAGTCGGAACAGAACTTGTTGAATGCGATATGAAGCCTCTTCGCCCGTCGGAGCATTAAAAATGTCGAATTCCACCGTGTACGAACATCCTGGATTAGAAGAAGCCGTAGCGTATTACTAGGCTGGGTATTCAGGAAGGCTTCCTTACGTTGAGGGCTTCCGTTGATATAAACCGCAAGACCTCGGACCTATCAGGAATCAGAGTAGTTAGTGTTATTGAATCATAATTTATGATTCATAAATAGAAGCATACCTTGTTCAGAGTATCGGCGATCTCATGTTTCTGCTGGCGCGCACGAAGTAAACGTACACGATCATCAGACCATTCTGTCTCGGCGTTATCATTTTTTGGCGAAGCCTTCATTTTACCAAGCAAATCAACTAGACTTAACTGAATAACATGCGCAAGGCAGGGCACTTGGACAATCGTAGAATCCGTCTCCATATGTAGCTTCTTGATTGAATCATTCACTGCTGCGATAAGTGTCTTATTGTTAGACGCAGTATCAGTTGTCACCGCGAGCACTCGGTCAGCGATTTGGTGTTTTTGTAGGATCTGGAGAACTACGTCCCCGAGGTTCACGCCAGTATGAGATCCAGAAATTGGCTCAAACCCAAGTAGGACCTCACGATACTCCCATTCCTGGTCTAGGAAGTATCCTGTGATAGCCATAAATGCGTGCTTAAATGGCGATGTCCAGCAGTCAAGCGCAATCGACATTTTTGCACCAGATGGGAGCTGTTGTAGTGTCTCTTGTTGATACTCTGTAACGAAACCCCGGAGGCGGTTGCGAATCACCTACTTGATGGAACGCTCGGTGATGTAGGTGCTAGCCGTGCGTAGGAAATGAGGTCATGGAATTCTTGATGCTCGACGAAGAGGAAGGGTAAATGTGATACAGTGATTAGGTTTAGAATCTTCTGTTCCCATGTTTGTTGGGTAAAGAGAGGCGCTGGTCTTCTCTCGGCCTAAAACATAGTGAATTCATTATTAGTATTAATATTGAATATAGGCTATTTCGAACATACCGCGTCGCTGAGTAGTTGCTGGATATTACCCTTCTTCGTGATTCGCTGTCGACAGCTTGGCCCATCAAGATGCTTCTGCATCGATGAGTTTCCAGTATGATTTGTAGCTGGATGCGTGAGAACTGTACGGCACCGATTGCACATAACGCCAGGCTTTCCATCTTTAGTATGTGCAACTTGTTGAAACCCAGTCCAGCAGTCTGCGCGACGGCTAACCTCCCAGTTTAGCCGCTTCTTCTTGCCAAAATCGGTTTGAAGCCACCAGTTAACGAATTCCGCGGAGATGTCGGTAGTAAAGACGATATACTCGTTAATACTATCTGGCTTGATTTGCGTAAGGGTGTCTAGGGCCCGAGGTCCTGCGCGAGATCGGACTTGGTTGTCTAGAAGGTCTGGAAGGTCTAGAAAAATGAAACTGACTTGTTATGGGGGTTGAAAGGCGCTGGTACCAACATTGGCATCGTAGTCAGCGTGACTTTCAAGGCTTCCGCATCTCGGACTTACTCAGTTCGTAATTGGGTTGTCCCATTGAGTGACAGCCTTGAGGCGCAGGCCAAACTTAGCGAATTTGATGAACATGTCGCCAGGGTGCTCCCCAGGAACTGCTCTGCAGACGCATATCTGTACTGGGATGTCGGCCACCTGCATCTTGGCGTGACCATGTTTGAATCTTTCGAGACTGGGCTCGGCTCTGAAATGCCAATTTCCATGCCTCTATCCACATCTATGGGCACAATTTTGGGACCAGAAGACAATTTCGAGTCTGTGGATGGTGTTGGTTTGTTCGAGTCTGAGATGTACATGTCCGGGATGCACGGCGGGCACAGCGGCAGCAGAACCTCCTCGTTCAAGCGATGTTTATTTTTAAAAAATATCGGAACGCAGGAGATCACCAACAGCTTGGTGACGGCAATTGAGATCCGTCCTTCGCCACTCTGCTACCTCCATCTGCTTCAAGGTGGCGGAGCGGTTGGCGACGTGGCAGCTGATGAAAATGCCTTTGGCTGTCGAGATTGGGACTTTGCCTGTGTTGTGACTGGTGTCTGGTACCGCGACCAAGATGGAACCGAAGTTGCTGGAGCTGCCGTGTGTTGGGTATACAACATCGCCATGAACTTGTTGCCCTTGAGTAGCGGCGTTTGCGGTGCAGATCTCGGACCTGACCCTAGAGACGCCGCACTGGCGGTCAAGGCTTTTGGACCAAATCGGCCGCGTCTCGCCCGTCTCAAGCACACCTCAGACCCACGCAATGTGCTGGCATACGCCTGCCCTCTCTCAAAAGCACCGATGGAACCGAGGCTCATTATTCTCATCACAGGAGATAGCTGCGCCGGTAAAGACTATTGCGCCGACGTCTGGGTCTCCATGTTCCTCGAATGCACCCAGAAAGGCCTCGTGGCGCGCGCAGTCAGCATCAGCGATGCGACTAAGCGAGAATACGCGGCCGCTACCGGTGCCGACCTGAACTGTCTGCTTCAGGACCGTGCCTACAAAGAGCAACACCGATCAGCGTTGACAACATTCTTCCAGCACCAGGTGTCAAATCGACCTCGGTTGCCCGAGGAGCATTTTCTAAATGTGGTATATGGCGCTGCAGATGTAGATGTGCTGCTAATCACCGGGATGAGAGATGAGGCCCCGGTCGCGGCCTTATCGCATTTAGTGCCAGATAGCAGACTGCTTGAGGTTCGTGTCAAAGCTAGCAAAGACACGCGGCGTGCTCGCCGAGGATGTCAAGGCGGTGATGATGATGGTGACAACAGCAGGCCAAAACCGAAGCCCTTGGACTGCCGCCCTAGTTTCATATTCGACAATGACACGGTTGGAAGCGAGGCGGCTAAAAGGGTTGCCGAAGTCCACCTGCTTCCTTTCTTCGATGAGGGCTTTCAGCGACTGGCAAAAATGGTGCGCCCGGTACCCCACTTTCCACGACCTGGCGTCGAATTCCGTCACGTGCTCAACATATCCCAACAACCGGGTGGGCTGAACCTGTGCACATCTCTGCTACAGGCTCACTTTTCCGGTGAATGGGCCAAAGCCGACGTAGTTGTGTGCTGCGAGGCCGGCGGCTTTGTCTATGCGTCGGCGCTGGCTTTGCGGGTCGATTTACCTTTGGTGCTAATTCGCGATGCCGGAAAACTCCCTCCACCCACTGTTTCCGTCTTCAGGTCTACGTCACACATCTCATCTTCGACATCCAACGACCGAAAAGAAAATAGGATCGAGATGGAACGGGATTTGATTCCCAGGGGTGCCTCAGTGGTGGTGGTGGACGATGTGCTTGCTACGGGGAAGACACTTTGTGCGGCGCTAGATTTGTTAGATAAGGCTAACGTCGGTGCTAAGGATATCAGCATCATGGTCGTGGCTGAGTTCCCTGTTCACCGCGGCCGGGAATTATTGCGCCAACGCGGGTTTGGCGGAGTCAATGTCCAAAGCCTTTTAGTCTTTAGTGGTGCTTAGGGAAGGATGACAGGATTTCGGAATCTTGGGCTTGTGACCGAATTCAACTTCTTTCACGTCTTTTTTTTTTTTTTGGTGATAGGTTTCATGACCCCAACCTAGATAAAGTAATTTTTGCTTATTTGCAAACGAACCAATGCAATAATACGTGTTCGTGTAAACAGGGGGCTATCAAGGGAGTATTCTGTGTATTAGACAAAATGGGGGCGCCCCGTGTCAAGACACAGTCAAACTGATATATGAGGTACAGGACAACTCAGGTGCTTCAACACTGTGGAAGGGTAGCCTTCTAATTCTTCCGGATGCCAGAATTGAAAGAAAAGACGAGGAGTTGTATGTCTAGGAAACATTACAGATTGACAGCAACTACAGTGACTGTTCATAAGTTTTAACACCCCAGCCCCACACCACTTTGATTATATAATATTCTGCCGGTCAAAAGTTTCCTTCAATACCGTTGTATATCAAAATCTCTGGCTTTCAATGATTTTCTACACAAGGCTAACCATCGTCTCATGAGAATATATTAAACCATCCAGAAAAGCGACATGAACTTGAGATAAGTGAGGTCTACCAGTTCAATTTATATAGGCGGTATAGGCGATAAAGGAAGGCGGTATATGGGTGGGGCTAAAGGGGGTGTTAAAACTTATGAACAGTCACTGTATCATCATTTCGATTATTATCAAATATTGATCGGTAGATACAATGTGGAATGTGGATCGTCCAATTCGGAACAGTACGCTTGGTTCGGGTGGAGCGCCGGTGAACTGCGTGAGAACGGAGGCTATTTGGTGTTGGGTGTATCCCTCGATCACCATGTATACAAACTAACCTGAGGGATCGCGAAGAGATCCAAGAGCTTTAGAAAAGCTGTTGCAATTTTGTGGCAGCCAGGAATCACAGAGTGTGAGGTCTTATGGGAGGCTCTTCGTCGAGGAGTCGGCGGTTTGAAGTCGCGCGCCACAAGGGCAACACAACACAGCGAATGGTAATCAGGCTACGGGAGGCTGTGGGGCTCTAGGTTTGGCTTTAGGAAGTGATATACATATCGATATGCCGGTATGTCGTAACTTATCGTAGCAGTACATCATCCATCTAAGTACTTTGCACTGCAAGGGATAGCAGCTGTCCCTTTACCAAGGGCACTGCAACCATAACCCCAACCTTCGCTCATATAAATGGGATTTGACTTTTACTAAATTTTCTTACAGGGCCGAGAAAACTGTCTACCTTGAACTGGTTAACTCTACTCGCGAACACGCTGCCTCTTTGTTCCCTGCCCTGTCTGTCTCCCACGAGTCCACGACTGTTGATCCGCATTCTTTCTTCCCATTTTTCGACAGTAAACATAATATTGGTTATGGCAAAGCCAACAGATCTACCAATCGAGCTTTGGATACAAATTTTTGACTTTCTCACGCGCCGGGAAATCAGCTTTTTGAGCAAGTGCAATCATTCATTGAATTGGATGCTCTCGGCTCTATTATTCGATACCGCATTTGCCAGGCGTTCCCGCTTGTTGCGCCCGGATTTAGTATATACACTGGCGTTCCTACATGCAGTCGATCAAAATTCACAGAGATTAGTCCAATGGCTCCTGCATCACGAACTTCGAACTATGTTGAATGGGTATGTGTTCCGAGTCTTCCAAGCTTCAACTCTGACCTAAATTTATAGATTCATTCCTTTCAAAAAGTCGCAAATCACATACCTCCACTACGCAATCCTTAATGACGCTCCCGTTGTTGTGACATCCTTGGTCAAGTATGGAACTGATGTGTATGAAGGGACTTGCGATTACCCTGATCTTGAGCCCTTATACTTAGCATTAGCAAGCCCCCACGACAATTACCGAGATCTTGACAAGCCACTTTGGATTGCTAGCAGCTACGCTCTTCCTAGGAGCTGCGAATATCTCCTGGAAAGGGGAGCTTCTCCTAACAACTTGAGCAATTTTGGAATGGGAGCTATGCACCTTGCGGTGAGAAGGAGGTTGCCCTGGCGAAACTTCTCCAGGATTACGAGTCCTCGCTACCGCACTACAGGGACAGTTGCCAAATGGTCCTCTTTCCTTCTTCGCACAGTTTCAATTCTACTTCACTTCGGCGGAGATCCAAATTTAAAATCAACCATTTCTCGGAACCATCGATGTGGACCTTGGTGTTGGGGCTCGCTGGACTGTGAACACCGTGGTGAGAGGGTATTGCACTTTGCTTCTGCTAGCGGCGAGAACGATGTTGTCTCATTTCTTATTGAAAATGGAGCAGACCCTACACTACTTGATGATGATGGGTACCTACCGCTTTATCCAGCATTGGCCCAGGGCCATTGCAGAATCGCACTGGGCCTACTAAAAGATTGCTCCTCTCCGGGAGTATTGATAGTTGCTCGATCTACGCAGAGCACAGTACTTCACATTGCTTGTCGCTTTGCATGTCCAAGAGTTGCCCTTTTGCTCCTAGAACAGGGCGCAAATGTAAACCAGCTCGACTCTTGTGGCAAAACTGCACTTCACGAAGGTTTAGGTCAAACTGATATTCAGTTGATGGATAATGTTGTTCAAATATTTCACTTTCTTGTGGAGAATGGAGCCCAACAGGATCTCAAGTCGAGTTTCGGGATAACAGCGCAGCATCTGGCTCGCACACATGTTTCGTCTGAGGTGAGAATGCTTTTGGATTCCGCTCGCAAGGACAGCCTAGTTATACCGTCTCTGGCGCCTGGAAGATATGGATGTCCATACCATTTGTATTGGTAAGCCAGACACACCTTGTATACTGTGCGATTGTGAAAAAACCTAACATAGTCCAGCCATCATGGCTTACAAGAGACGATTGAACCCACAACTCCATCTTCGATAACTTCTACTCGAACTCATTTCAATCCTCTGATGCTTGACATGGAAAGTAATGGGTCATTCCCGGCACTTCCACAGGTACCGCACATGCTGCCTCGTCGATACCAGCCCAGAAAACTTTCTGGTTCAATTTGGATGACTGAGAGGGGGGGGAGGCAACCGATGTTCAAAAGAAGCTCCTCCTTGCGAGATAGTTCGATATCTAGCAAAAAGGCATCGCCTGATTCATATTCCGTGGAATTTCCGAGCATGGATGCACTGGATTCAGGCAACATCTCCTTGACGGCTTCGGGGAAATTCTGGACTAACTTTTCTATTGAGAGGGCGTCCTCCAATAACCCATGTCGCCAGTTGCCAGGCCAGCCTGCTTGCGAGCAAATAGGCAAACTTAAGGGCAATAAGGGCCGAAAGAGATGGCAAACTTTGGCTTTTTAAAACAGAAAATGTCGGAAAAAGCCCTAACCTAGCAATCACGATCTCGGGAAAGGGCTTGGAGTTGGAATTTGAAACGGGGCGTCCTACGTCCGCAGACTGACTCCCGTAACTCAGCTCTCCGGCCAACGTTCGACCTACTCCAAGCTGAGCGAATCACGGCTACTACAGAACCCAGGGACTTTTCCATCCCTTCAAGTCAGTATGCAGCTCTGCCATCAACGACACCCACACTAGGTGGCGGCATGCTTGCGAGCCTAGGAACTCCGAGTCAGCAGTTCAATTTCGCCGATTTCGTGAATCTGACTCCCAGCCCGACACAGGCAGCTTGGGACACCCGCACGCCTGGCAATCCTCTTCGCATTCCTACCACTACCCAAGGAGACCCGAAAATAACTGAGCATGAGCTTCGAGGCTCTGTATCTGTGGCGGGGAGTCTAAAGGGGCTCTGCAGCTTGTTGTCAAAGTGCGGTCTCGATTTCCACCGTCAACCTCCCCTGGCTCTTCACCCATTCTTGCCTCAACTCCGCTCTAATTTACTGATTATGCAGCTTGGGAGAGATAATTCGATTGTCTACTATAGACGGTGCTGATACTGCTTATGCCACAAGCTATTGGTCGCTCCGTTTCTGCTGCAATACGAAGCAGACCCTGGTATTGCGGTGGAACTACAAAGAGACGCCACACAGAATGGTTCAATATCGGTATGTCACATGGGACGCGTCCGGACATTGCACGCAGCAGGTACGGTCACACCCCTACATGCCTACGCGTCGAAGTGCCAGCCGGGCGATCTTTCGCTGGTCCCGCCGTTCGGTGCTCGGTCCATTTCGTCTTTTCAGCCCGGGCTAAGTTCCAAACGAACTATATCACTTCCTGTAATGCTCCTCACCAAGACCCTTTTCTTTTGTCAGAACCCAGTCATCACTTACATTACACGTTAAATGCATCCAAAATGTACTCGAAATGGCGTTCAAACTTCCCTAATACCGTGGGTGTTAGTATGGTGTCGCGCTCTAACGAAGAAGGAATAAAAACAATTGTTCGTTCTACGATTTCTTTTTCTTTTTTCTTTTTCTTCTTTTTCTTTTCTTTTTTGGTACAACTTACATGCGCAATCAGACTGCGAGGCTACCGTCCCGTTCGTATATCACACCAAATATTCAAGACTTTGGGTCCTTTCCTAAATTGGCTACAAAGCGAAATGCAGCCCTACTGTAGCGACCGCGTATGCCGCGGCTCGAATGAACCAGGTCCCCATGACTCACCCGCAGACGTCATCGCAGCCCTACGTGTTGCAGTCCAGAGCATTGACTGATTGTTATTTCTCGGGGAATACATGTGGCTAGTTATACAATATGAGACTGAAAATGCGTCTTAACTTATTTCGTTCTTCGTGTATATTGTGAAGGTGTTATTTCCGATGATGCGGCTTGATTCCTGATCTGCACCAGCCTCATATTGCAACTCGAATCACTAGCCGACATCACTGATTTCAACAAACCGCTTTCTATGGACTCTAAGGAACAGACCGGGTCGGGTTCTCATGCGATCAGGCGCTCAAGTCTGTCAGATACAAACAGAAGAAACCAAAACCGAAGCGTGAAATATGGATGCAATCAGGGAGCAAAGGTGCATCAAGGCATGCCCCGACACAGTATAGCACTTTTGTGAACCTTGATTCAGGATTTGAATAGATCCATGTGAGTAGAACCACCGTCCGATGCCATTGAGCAGAGCCAAGAAGATATAAGATGCCGTCAATCGAGACATGCTCGAGAAAACAGCGTTGTAGAGTGAGACGCTGCATAAAGCCAATGCTCCAAACACTCCAATGACCAGCACCCGTTGTCTCTTCTCCCTTGGCCAGGTTATCAAATAGGTGGCACAGACCATCCCGGCCAGTGTGATTTCCAGAATGGCTGAAGTGATTTTCCCACTACCAGAATTCTCTAAGAGCAAGACCGATACGGACGTCCCCCATATGTGCAGAATAATTCCGATGTGGTCCAACAGGAAGAAAAAAGAAGAGAGCTGCTTCCTCGAGTCAAGCAAGTAATGGCAAAAAGCAGAAGTGTCAAAACAAAAGAGGTTGGATAACAGAGAAACTAATGATGTGATTGCATTGCTTGTTGATGAAGAGCACCGAATTATATGAAAAATGAAGCAAAGTAGAATTCCGCTGCCGCAGAAATGGATTTTTGGGTCGACAGAGCCATTAGTGTGGACGGGCTTATATTATTGTTGTTGGTGTTTCTGGGCGATAAATACTTGATTTGCTTGTAGATCGTTCAATAATAGGTGTCGGTGATCGAAGCTGAATATTTAGCTTTGATAGCACTGGTTCCGCATCTAATGGGACTAAACCGGTTGCTTTGAATGCATTCCGAATGGTCTTAGCCTGTAATTTCATCGTCGCAGGATACATTTCCGATTCATTGATTTGGCAGCTATTCTCGATGCCCACTAGTAAAAGTTAGTCTTCGTAGATTCTCATCATGTGAGCTGAGCGGATGCCTCACTGATCTTGACATCACCAGACTGTGTAAGCAGGATCGTTTCCGGGCCCACGGTAGCGAGCATCGTCACTCAACCGATGTGTGGTAAATTAGACACGTTGCACAGGTGCAGCTCCCCCTCATCACCGAGACTAAACCGTCGGAACATATTTGGTCTCCCCAAATCCAGCGGGATCGGCGCCGACTCTTTCCTGAGAATTTTTAGTTTTTGCTTTGCAGTGTCCACATTCCAATTAGATGACAGTTTGATTTTCAGTGCACGGCCATACATGCGGACACTAGACTCAGCTGGGAATGGCATTAGAGTTCAATATTAATTTGGGAATGAAGGCGCGACGCGACGCAAGGTGAGATATCACTGATTACTAGTAGATCAGCACTTTGACGGACGTGTGTGCTTTCTTAGATAATGGAAGACGAATATTGCAGATGAAAAGAAAATGTGCGACTGGAATTCGGGGCTGATATTCTCTTTCTATCGATGATGGATGCACAGACTAGGTTTGCGCAGGCAAAGAAAGTAATTAGCGACTGACACGTCGCAAAAGGACCGATAAGATCACTTAGCACATCTACACGTCCAGGTAAGCTTATGGTAAGGTACCCCGCCATTAATGCTGGCGCTCCTCGGCTACCGAACCAGTCTATCCCCTGGGTAAGCTTCCCATATAATTGCAGCTGGCCTTCAATATATTCTGACAGCCAAATTTCCAGCCCATCCTCCTTTATCCACCTGGACCGACTACTCAACACCTCAACACAAATTCCGGGGTTCTACAGGTCCCCTCTACAGTTATATTGGAAAATTTGGAAATCTGAGTATCGACAGAATCCGCCCTCTTTCCATGCACCGTCTCCCCTGTCCATGACCACTTGAACAACGGAACGCCTTGCTGTCACAAACCAGGATCCACCTTCAACGACACAGAGCCTGCCTGCTTGGGTTTATCAAACGGCCGCATGGGCCCATATCCATGGAATCGTTGTCAATGTGGCGAAGAAGCACCCGATATTCCATGCTGTGCCCCAATCATAGAATGTAAACTTAGCAGCAACCACTATGATCAACAATATAGTCTCTGTCAAAGACAAGAGCATGGGCTGTGTACTAATCCTCCAGCCTTCGCTGATAATTATTCCACGGAATCGGAGCTCTCTTAATTCAGAGCAGTGCCATTCATTCAATTTCCCCAGGACATCCCTGTCATTTAGTAATTAGTTTTCCATTCACTATAATTGCTTGACTATAACCATTACATATCACTTACGCGTGGCTGTGCACTATCCCCTTTCCTTTGAGGAAGTCATTTGACGCAGCGAGGTTGGGATTGGAGAAAATAAGTTTCATCAGAGGGCGGGTATTGAGAAGAGAATGACCCCGCTCCGCGTTGAAGAATCTTTCATCTGGACATTGCACATGATCTAGGATCGTTGACACACAGCTTTCCAGGCAGTCGACCCTTCCTGTGTATAGATTGTATGAGCATTGAAATTCTTGTGGCCCGTAATCATCTATGATGTGTTCCAGACGTTTCCTTTCAGCGTGGTTGTCAATCATCGTATACATCCCAATGTATTCAGCCTTACTTCTCGATGTTTTTGGGTTTTCTCCCACAACCGAAAGCTTCGGGAATATGTCAGTGCCAGTAAAAGGACATTATTCATATGCGATACGAATACAGACCTCGACTATGTCAACTTGCGTGATATCATAGGAAGGCAAATGTTTCCTCCATTGACCTCTGTGTGTATACCACGCATGGTGTATTTCTCCCCACGTGGTGACTTCATCTACAGGATCAGAGACCGCAACTGACAGAATCGAACAACTGTATATTTCACCCCAGCAAAGTAAGACGGAGGCATTTGTACCATCTTCAAGCAATGGACGAAGCCTTTCTGTCAATAACTTTCTGCGGTTTTTATGTGCGACTTCACCGGCGTCTGAAAAGACAAACTCTGATTCAGAGCTAGTAGTTGGCGTCATATCCTTTGCTTTCGCTTCGCTTGCAGCATTTAGTTCGGGGTCACTATTATTCGAGAGCTGTGGCTGCCCAACCCGACTTTTTGGTGAACTTGCGGTCAGACGCCTAGGTGGGATGTTCTCTGCGGAGGGTGGAGTACCGAATTGAGCATACTTGAAAGCTAATTTTGGATATTCCAGAATGAGGAATGACAAGAGCCGGGCCAGCCTCAGCGATTCGGAATGGGTATGCTGATCCTGTCCAGTATAAGTTGAATCGAGGTCTGGTGCTGGCCTTTGGGATTCGTGGTTCTCAATCTGCCTCGGCCTCAGCCGAGCTCGTTGTGGTTGGCTAAGATAACTCATTTTTGTGAGTTGGAAGACGTCAGATGGGCTAGAAAGCTTGAGGGGTTTGGAGGTCCTTATATCTTTCCAATGAGAAGCAATTGTGGGGCAAATTAGAGGCGTATCGCAATGACCCAATTCATGCATGAGCTCACCAGGCCTATACACCTAATTGGATAGAATTTCGCCTCATCAGTGGGTAGATGCCTTTTGTTTATTGTGACTGGCCGGAGATGCGGGGTAATTGCCCTATCTCCCTTCACTTTCGGGTTGCTAGTGAACAGCCTTGAAGGGGCTTTGAGCCATATATTAGTGCGAAGTAAATTGTCTTCTTTGTGTTTGAAAAGAAGATGAACGAATTAATAGTCTGATTTCCGAGATAATCAATTGTTTAATCACACGCTGCAAATACTCTCTTGCCCGTTGACCCTCATGTTTTCACCACTATAGGTGCCCAAAACAAGGATGGCAAATGCGAGATATCATTGGCTAGCTAGATGCTCCGTTTCCAGTGGATAAAGATTCCGTAGCATTGGGCTGATTCCAACACAGACTGAACGCACTACATTGTAGATGAGATGAGTCTATACATACCAAGATTATCTTCCCTACCTTGATAGAGAAGCCATGCCCGTATGTTCACTCCGGGAGTGTGACGGTTCATGGATGCTTGGGTTTTACCACTACGCCATCTGGCCAAAAAGGCACAATGTTTGGTCAGCGACCAAACACCCAAGCTACTATATATGCTTCATCTCTGACAGCAATCAATAGCGTGCCTGGGAACCACGCCATGAATCCTGGGGTCGAATAGGATCCCAGGAACGTGAGTGTCTCGGGGGAGACACACTCTAGTCTTCCGGTGCTTGATTAATCCACATTCAGTCTGTGAAGCAACTTGCAATGGAAAGAAACAGCTATCGCTCAGCAGTCGTATGTATCGTGCATGCCTCTATCCCCATTATTTGCATCTTGCCCACGGGCTTTAGAGACGAGATATTGCCTTAACACCATCGCTGACAGGTATGGGCACACAGCCGATGTTGGTTTCACGGAAGCCTACGTACACTCAAGTCACTGGTTCTCGGACAAGCCAGGGATTACCTGAGGAGAAATCAAGGCTTCACGTAACACCAGTCTCGAAACAATTTCCTTTGCCAGCCTTCAAACGACCATTATACTGTGATGATTTGCTATTATACCCCAGCTCTCCAATCAGCACCCTTGATGTTGAACTTACGATGGAACGCGACCACAATGGAGGAGCTGCCGAGGTAGATACATCAACTGGTGCCATAAGAGGACAATATACCAGCACTGGCTTTGATGACCATAGCCTCTTACCGAACGAGGATTCAATGAGCGACGTTACCGACTTGCTTCAGAACGTCATTAGCAAAACCACCCTTTCGCCGACTGCATTCGATCGTACCTTTCAGCAAGACTTGGCTAGTTTGGATACATTGCACTCTGATTATTCATCTAAATCTTACGTGGTATCCCTGCATCATTCGACGAGCCAGGAACATACCCAAGATTCCGAGGCCGGAGGGACTGGACAGAGCAGGTTTTTACAAAGCGACAGACTTTCAGGAACCCAGTGGTCTGGCGCTGCTGATCGTATTACTGGGACGACGGGGCATCACTTATCTCAGGCCCCGAGTGATGAAAGCCAAACTTTGTCGAGGACATTGACAGGAACGGCGGCTAGCTCTCAAACTATTTACCAGACGTTTCCAACATCAGCCACAAAAACCTCAGATCGTGAATGGCATGATACAGCAGTCTATGGCAGTAATCTATCGGCAAGGGTTTCAAAGCAGGGCGCGCTATTGATACTCTGCAGCGTTCTCGGAGGCTGTCTTGCTTTAATTGGGGTCTTTATTATACACTGCTTTATCCTCCATCATTTCCATAGGCATGCTGGGGGTTCGACCCCTATCCTTCCCTCGCAACTAGTGGTAGATACCCCGGAAAAAAGTGCGAAAATCCTACCTAGGACAGCTGAAGTATCGCATTTTTCAAATGATACTTGAATTCGCATCGCATTGCCACTGACTCACATTAAACCCTTTTACTGTGCTTAATCCCCCCGTAATAACCCTCTAGGAGTTGTTATTGATAGATCAGGGCCAGATTTCAATTCGAGACCCCCTATTTCTCCAACCCGAGTGTGGGACATACAGTTTAGTGGTAAATTCTAAGTTCAATATATATGAGATGAAAATCACTTTCAGTCTAGGACGGGTCCCTATTTAGGTTTCAGGACAATGATCGTGGGATTATGACGTGGACAGTGCCTAACTGAGTGGCAATGCAGCTAGTGGTAATGAAGGTGGTGAAGGTGGTGAAGGTGAAATCAATGTTAGCTCGGTCGTGCTTTGAGCATGCACGCTACGTTTTCTAGATTTTGGCGTCGGGCTGGTATGAATATTGCCATTCTCATAGCGAGGCTACACAGCCTCCAATTCTGCTGCCTACCAGAAAAATATTCATCCCGTTGATTTTAATGGGCCCACAACTATACAAATAGCCTCAAAAATCGACAATGCTGACCGGGGTGGCATTATAATGTACTGCGAATTTCAAAACGTCGTGTCAATTATTATATCATATTTAGTGACTATTTAAGGTTGCTAGCCCCGCGAACTAAGGTCAGCACACCCACGTTACGCCACGCTCGAGCTCAGCTTCAACACACACACGACGCAAGCGGGTGCACACGGTATCTGTGCCGGCAGGTCATGGCTTCTGGAAATCAATTGATTAGCCAAAGTCCCGGCAAAATTTTACAAACAAAAAAGCGGTCAAATGGGGGAGATCAAATCTCCGATGAATGCTGCGTCAGTTGCATGATCCTGCTGGTTTTACTCTTTTCGGGCACCTCCCCAGAGCATCGTATCACTGCCGTCGAGAATGAAGTGGAGCGGTCAGTTGGAACATTGACGGCGACAATTCCCAAAATTCACCGTCCCCCTTTGGATCAAGCATTTACCCCGATGACCCTTGCATCGAATCTGTTGGCTCAAACACAGTCTGCACAAGCTCTGCAGGGAAAGAAGGGAAATTATAAGAGAACGTTCCCTATCAAGCAATCTCGGCTACCATTAGTGAATTTGCTAGATACGAGTCAAATCTCGACCAAAATTGAAACTTTGAAGAGACGAGGCTGGCCCAAATTGAAGCGACTGGGTCGAGCTGTTCAACGTAATTCAAGACGGATTTCGCGTCTTCGTGCACACTTGTCATTCTTACAAGCAGAGCTCGAAGAATGGACATCATCGCGAGATGGCTCAGCAAGGACAACTCTGTGCAAGCAGGAGCTGACTGAAAATGAGTTCTCCCCAGGCCGGATGTATCTAGTTGGATCTTTTTTGGTCCAGTATTATCTCCAGAAATGGAATGAGGAGCCAATTGATGGAAATAGGGTGAATATTCCGGGGTTGATCGCTCTGTTAATTGACCAATTCCCTTGCCTACGTGCGTGACATTGTTTTGTTTTTTGGTTATTTTGGTCGGAAGTGCTGTCGAGGTATCATTGCATGGGTGATATAGTAAACTATAGAATTTTTTTACATTGAAATAGACCGAAGAATGATTGAATTACGGCTGATACTGTTTTCTAACGGTTTTACACAGCAACGTGGCGTATGCTGTTTCAAATATTCTAAAGAATCTTTCTTTTTCCCTAGCGACAGCATTTGACGTATTATAGTAAGATCATTACCAACGCATGAGCTTTAGGAAAAAAAGCTCCCCCATTGAAAGTTTTATAAGATTCTACATACAAAAACGTGGAAGATCAGCTCCATGCTACATTCCGGTCGCAGCCCAATTGGTCCACCTCGAACAACAATCCGACTCAGTGGCGAAATCGAGGGGTTCTTAACTACTACATAGGATATCCCATGGATTCGCCCGCAACTATCAAGTGAAAGTCAATCGAGTCACTCGCGTTTCGAGAAGAGCCTCCGATAATTCCAAAGGTGTAAAAGTTGTCTACCTGGCATGTTTGTTGAACTTTTGTCGCCAGGGGCACAAGGTTTCCACAGTTTGTTGAGATGCGCTCCAGGCTCTGAGTGTCGTCAGTACGGAGCCCTACATGCCTTGAAGTTTGGAGCACTTACATAGTTGCAAAGAAATATACCGGATAGGTTGGCATGGGAGAGACGATGGCAATTGCCAGCATCGACATCGCACGAGATATCGCTGACTTTGCTCAAGTGGTCAATGTTCTCCGTTGTAGCGTCCATATAGGCAATCCCGTGCGAATATACACAAGCCGGAGTTTTCTGTTACGATCATTAGATACTTGCCAAAGGTCAAGTATGGAGACCGACCTCTATGATCATTTCGTACGGGGGGCTCGGCACTGGAAATGTTGGCGAAGAGTGATACTAGAAATACGTCAGCAGGTGTTTTTCTATGATGCGCTTTGCGGGGATCGCACTGGGTGGGTGGATGTTGCTGTGTGGACCGGTTTATCGTTGGGCCTTGCGACCTATCGAAAGTGAGTATATGTGAACCGCATGATGCAGGGCGAATGTACAGCCACTCACGACTAGAACGGCGAAACGCAGCAACACAATGCTAGCGAAATTTATGCCGACCTTCATAACGTTAATGGAAAACAGACACAGTCCGTAACGTAGGGAGCGGGAGTGAGGGTACTTTATATCTCTTGGAAATGGTAGACTTCGACCGTTATAGCTCCACACGCGCAGGGAATCTTAAATTGAGGCTATACCGGCATCAATGTGCCGTCCCAAAACTGAAAGTTGGTTCCTTATACTGACATCAATATCCAGTGTCACTGGCATTTCTTTGATGCCAGTGATTCAAGCTTAATTATGCGTCACTCACCGTTCTTTTCTTTTCTTTTCCTTTTGTGAGTCGCCACACCTATGTAAATCGGCACCTCACAAATATGCTCATCGAGCCTTGGTGATATAAAAGCGCTTCGCACCACCACCCGCCAAAGCTAGGTCTTCGGATACCTAAATTCACTGATCATGTTTAGGTCTCTGCTCACACTCATTGCTATCCTCGGTCAAGTTCAAGCCCTTGATCTTGGACCACTCATTCAATCCACCTGTGATGCAGTCATCACGTGGAACCAATTTATGGGTGGAAGCTTGAATGCCACGCTTTCAAGTTCTGGACACCCACAATCAGTTTCCTTGTCGATTGACTGCGAGGCTGAGATGGAAAGCGCATTCAGTAGATGTAGGTATCATACTACCCTCGCATTATACCTGACTGCTAATATTCACAGGTGTTAATGGTTCTTCCATTGATTGCCATAGTATTGTCGTCTCCCTGGAAGGTCAAATTCCTCCGATGGCTACGGTGAAGCAACATGCAGAAAGGGCAACTAGTGATGAGGTTCCCTCTCAACAGCAGGGCACTTGTTCATGTCAATCGCCTCCACAGAATAAAGAGACTACGAACCCCGAAGGCACTCAGTCACAGACAAGCATCAGTACCGAGAGTACTGTGTCTGTTACTCAGATTGCGACCTCTAGCTTCGAGCCCCCGGACAAGAATACATCAACCTCTGCGAGCATCTCGACATCCACAAGCGCACCTAGCGAGACACCTGGCCCTACCACAACTCCCCCGCCAAAGGGTTCTGGGGAACTCGACCTGAATACCTGCCTCATCAAGTAAGTGATTATTTGGTATGCTAAGCAAGCTATGTTATCTAACCACATTATTAGAGAGGCGGACCAACTCGCAGGCGGTCTTTGCCACTGCGCCTCTGGGTCAACAAGGGCATTTACGTCAGCGGAGTGTACCCTAGTCCATTGAAATAAAGGAAGCAAGACTGCACTTGTCAAATTGCAAACCAAGTGACTTGGCCCTCATTTCATCATGCGGTATAGAACCCTTGGTATTGCCAGGAGTGCAAACTGGAAGTATCACGCTATGTATTGAATGTAAGAAGAATATAGAAATCAGAAAAAAGGTGAAGTCATTGATATTCGTGGGGCTATGGGAACTTACTCTTTAATGTGTTAGACAGTAACATATAAAATAACTAAAATCAGTGCCGAACCTCTATCAAGCTCATTTCCAATGGACATCCTGCTGAAAGCAAACCACAATTCATCTCACTAATCAAGAAGTGCAGTACAACTTATCCATAAACATTATATTAGTAGATACTACATGTACAAGTTTGCCTACTTCAACTTAATCTTTGCCAGGATAAATACTTCGAGTTCTTTTCTATTGGCAGTTCAACCATATGGATGGTCCATCTTTTCTGCTGTTGCATCTAATTGCCAAGCCTTGGCCGAGAAGTGGGAAATTATCTCTATGGACCATATCAGTTGGTGGATTGAGGCATTGTTGCTTCTATGGTGCACATTCTGGGGTAACTGAAAGCTTTTGATCGCTGTGTCTGATTCATGAGAACTTGTGTTGGTGAGCTTCTATATGGTGTATTGCCTTTTGGTGCGAACTGCTGTGGTACTTTGGATACATTATTGTTGTCTTCACGCGAATACATAGAATCACGGAAATTCGGCCTCTGAGAATATCACTCAAGTAGAGTGGCCAAAATTGTTCGCCCATCTTCCCGGGCTACGATGCTAGTCTAGCAGTTTCATGGTCATCTTCTGCCCTGCGATCAGGCTTGTGGGTCGGTGTGCATCCTTCTGATGGGATCGAAGACATCACGCGCTGAGAATGATGCATTCACTGAACAAAACTCCTCGCATTCCGCTTGGGCTTCGCAAGCTCTTTCAACCAGGTTGCAGATTGTGTTCTGGAAATTCCGGAGAAGTTGATGGACAGAGTTGGTCGAGCGCTGGGTGCCGGATTTGTAAAGATTTTGTAGTTCGTTTAAAGTATGTTCTGTGAGGTCTTGGAGTAGCTTGAAGAGAGCATAACAATCCCGGTAATAAGCATTCTGTGCTTGCTGTTGACCGATCTGACGTACAATCTGTACAATGTCTTCCATTGTGTTCATTTGCTTGAGGCGCTATCATCCACGGGAGAAAGAAGGATCACATTTGACTCTCAGGCCCTGCCTTTGCATAATGAGGAACATCGATTACACAAATAGAAGGAGGACACTTTGGATGCCGTTGAGACCAAAAACACCCATTGATAATTCAACGTAAACCTGCTCTTTTCTAAGGCTCTACTCTAACCTTTGAGGTGGTCATTATAAATGTGATGGTTCTCACTTCACCGTTCTGGTGATCAACACCGCACAAAGCGTTAACTCAACTCTTCATGTGCCATAGGAAACACCTAGTTACCCGGTCAATGAGTACAGTCTGAGCTCCACATTTGTCTATAAAACCACACGCTCTTCCGAATAATGCTGCCCAAGACGGCCAGTAAATATACTTTGACTTTACAAAATGGACACTCTCGATTATTGAAACCTGCGCAACTACGCCATCGGTGCCATAATAGGCATGCTCGGGTTTTCCTACTTTGTCATTTATCTATTGATGTTCCTGGTTTTTCATTTTCCTGCATCTCAAGAGTCAATCCCATACGCTCTAACAGTGATCGCGTTTGGTGGAGGCATTGCCCTGTGGTATCTGTGTGTTGTCTTCCAGAATGGCTTCAGTGCATTTCAAAAGGAAGAACCGAGAAAAGAGCAAGATTCAATGTGGCTTGTAGGTCTGTTCCTAGTATGGACCGCAGCACTTCCGACGATCGCTTTTCTCTTTCCAGCCCAACCATTGCTACAGCTTGGATACGCGTCGGCTTTTACCATGATCGCTGTTGGAAGCCTCTCGGATGGTTATCTCTAAGATATGGACACGGGAGCATTTTCTAGTCGATTGTCCGTCCAATTTGCTTCTGTGGGCCTGTTGGCCTTGGTACCAACCATTCACGCATTGGCCGAGCCGCTCCACGCTCCCTCTCCACTGGCCGCTGCATTCGGCCGACTGGTGCTCATCAACCTATTTGGCTGTTCTCTCTACGCTTTGCGCCCTCTTGAGAGAATTGGAATGGTCCAGACTTGGCAGCCTAGTCTCCACGGCATGTACTTGGTCTTGACATACAGTCTCGTGGAGTATTCCAAAGCGGTCATGCAGGTAGCAATTCCTTACATGTCTTGATGGCGAGCAGCGGAGTAGTCATGAGCAAGAGCGGAACTGAAAGGCCAACACTTGTAATACCCTATTTTCTGTTGTCTGATGTAGGGGTTATTGCCAGTGTTTTGTCTGGATCAACCATTGACCTTCACCTGCGTGACTTAACCACCACATGGGATGTTTGCTCCATGTTGATGATACTGTTGTCAATTTGTCTTTTGCTTATTCCTTATGTCATTTACCTTTGTTTCTTAGTTTGGCGGTTTTGCATGCATTCTAGAAGCAGGCAAAACCGTGAACAATCTAAGAAAATCTACTTTTGGAGCAGGTTGAAACCAGACCTGAGATAGCAGAGTCATTTCCGCCATGTCCATCGACGCTTTTTTGCATATCGCAGACTGTAGATCAGGGAATATAATTAACAATACCCTATAGCCAGTTGCCTGAAAACTATTGAGATGTAAGAGAGATGAGGGAAAACAGTCTTAAAACTATTACAGGGTTTGGTTATTTCTCGCGCTATTGGAACAAATATTCATCGGCTTACACAACATAGAGGCTCTCTGGTCCGTCAGTAAGAACAAGGAATTGTTAAGATAATGAGCAGAGCGTATTTCACTTTCTTTTGAGGCTTTAGTGATGTAGCTATCCATTTTGCCGCATTCCATGGTGTTGCGACGGGTCCCAAAGCACACTATCATGACGGTGAGTGGAGTTTATAACCCCTGCCTCTGCATTTTCCGATCCCAGGCCCTTTGAAAACGAGACGCGTATTGACTTATGCCAATGATGGAACGCCAATCTAAACATGGATCATGAGCAAAAGCATCTCCGTTGTCCCAGTACAAGCGATATCCTCTGGAGCCTAAATTAGCGATGACAGCAAAGGTGCAAGTAAAGTTTTCGGCCAAAAGAAACAATGATTATAGGGCAATGAGAGTTCGCCCAGGACAGGCAACCGTTGGCTGCTGGAACTGATAAGGATAATCGAGGTTATATGAATTCATTATTTGGGTTATGTTCATCCAAGACTCCGTATACTGTATATTATTAATCAGCCATCTTCAAGGATGAGAGGCTGTTTCATCAGAACCTCGGGAGGATTCCAGGCATATTGTAGCCAACACACACTGTTTTCTTGAGGATTTGGGGGCTGAGACCTGGGAAAATCACAGTGATCTCCAGCGGTAGAGTTAGGTATTTAGATATTCACCAACTTGCTGCATTGCTTCGATATCTGCTGGACAGGACGATGCTGTAACAGTGATTGGCCACTCTGAAACGTTGTCTGGCTGCACCCTATCCCTGACAAAGCCAAATGCAGATGGTCATTTGCTTTTGTCCGCTTGATTAAGCACGATATGAATTGGACTAGAGACTATACTCCAGGCTTTCAACACGGAGTCTATTCTTGTGTCCGCACAAAGAAAGAGCAAGAATGTTGCCGCGGAGCCTCAACTGAGGGTCCTCACTTTGTCTTTAGTACCTCAAGGTTGCGGAAAGATGTTTCTTATAAGCAGGAAATTGAGTATGCTGTCCGTCAAGGAGGTCCTAGAATAAGATGAAGAGCTCCTGGGAGTTATACAGTATTAAATGGGCAATATGCCTCTAATTGAGTATATAAGTCTCGAGTTCTCATTCAAAAAGCATATCGGCTGCAATCAATCATGGGCATGATTTCAGAAAACATCGTCAAGTCCGTTTTAGTGACCATTCTTCTTGTTCTCAGCCTTGGAAGACTATTTATTTCGTATCGGTTTCCCTTAAATTGGCCATGGCACAAAACCGATTTAGCTTTGTGTGCCTTGCCTTGTATTTTCTTCGCTCTTCTCACTGGATTGTTCTGGAGCAACAGGTTTCCAGCATGGGGTGAAGTGCTCTTCTGGGTTACTTCGATCTTCCCACCACTATATGCAGTAGGTCGACAGTACATGGAACTCGATTATAGTGGGTCTCTTTTTAGGCTAACCACGCCATAGTACCTCCCTATAATCTTCCAGCAGCGGAAATACCTAAACACGCCTCGATTACTGCGCACCATGTATCCTTCTTTTGCTGCACTTTCCACCCTGGCTAAAGTGGCATTCTCTCTCGTTGGAACTTTTGTCCTGAGCTCTGTTCATCTGGGCGGCCTCTTTATTCTCTCTATGGACTACCTCGGTATAGCTGCATGGTATTGGTGGTTGTTTCGACAGTCAACTCTAGGCCAAGCTCAGCTACGGTTTATCTCGTGTTACTTCTCTATAGTAGCACTTCTTTTGCTTGTGGTTGCCATTATAGGCATGTT